GTGTGAGGGGTGTGCCGAATTGGGGTGTGGGTGACGCATGCGGGCGGCAGCACTGGGGCCTTCGGCGGAGCTCCTATGGGGCCACGAAACGTGTGAGGGGTGTGCCGAATTGGGTGTGGGTGACGCATGCGGGCGGCAGCACTGGGGCCTTCGGCGGAGCTCCTATGGGGCCACGAAACGTGTGAGGGGTGTGCCGAATTGGGTGTGGGTGACGCATGCGGGCGGCAGCACTGGGGCCTTCGGCGAGCAGCGAAACGTGTGAGGGGGTGCCGACGCATGCGGGCGCAGACTGGGGCCTTCGGCGGAGCCTATGGGGCCACGAAACGTGTGAGGGGTGTGCCGAATTGGGTGTGGGTGACGCATGCGGGCGGCAGCACTGGGGCCTTCGGCGGAGCTCCTATGGGGGTGAAACGCAGGGAAGAGGGGGAGGAGGGAGGAGGAGGAGGAGGAGAAGAGAGGAGAGGAGAGGAGAGGAGGACGCGGGGACCGTCTCTTCAAAACGAGGACCCAACACCACAGGATGGTTGGGAAATACTTAAAAAAATACAACCAATATTAGAAAATATACCAGAATCGTCCCCAAACTATTTTTTAAACCATTTTTGAATACTCCCCCTGTAGAGGGACACGCCCGACTTAAATCTACGTCGGATGTACGTCTGACTCACGCCGGAGCTTCGCCGCGCGAACGTCGACCCATGTCTCACGAAGCGGGCGTGCACTGGATAATACAACCTGGCCATCGCTCGGACGTCCACGTCCTGTGCTCTTTTCGGTTTCGTGCGTGGTTTGTTCGCCAGATGGTCGCGGATGCTCCTCGAAGGTCCTCGCCGAAGGAAAAATGCACACGTCCGAGCGATGCCAAGCAACTGTTGCGTGCCGCGCGAGGCCGCCAGGATTCCCCTCAGAACGGGCGGGTGCAAGAAACACTGCGCCCGAAACTACAAAAAGTTGCTCGTGACACGCTCGCACTGGCGGTGCCGGTGCTGCAAGACAGGCCTCGTCCACCTCCGCCATCGTCCCGCCTTCTTTTTGTCTCCGCCTCCCCCTGTCTGTTTCTCCTCCCCTGAAATTGTTTTTTCCTTCCTCCCCGCCTCCTGTGGCCTCCCCCCCCAGCCCCATCCCGCAACTCCACCCACTACAGCCTCCAACTTAGAGAGGGTAAAGAACATTGGCGAGGACTCGCGGACCGGCAAGTAGATAGAAGATACGCCACCAAAATATGTATATACATATATATAAATGTATATATACATATATATGTATGTATATACATATATAGAGGTATAGATAAATGTGTATATATGTATATGTGTAAAACAAACATATACGCACACCCTCCGACGACCTTCGCATGTACCTTCAGGGAAGGGACGGTGCACAAAAACGCTGGCTCTCAGTGGTGATGTATATTCCGCCACCCTCCCCTGAGGCCCAGGAACAATCTGGTGGAGGGTGCATGTGCGCATTTTGCGGTGGTCTGGGGAAATGGGATATTTGGAAATGGGGCCGCAAACCGCAGCTGCAATAGTTCGCTGCGTGGAACTCTTGCGCGCAACACTTGCGCGCAACTGTTGATTGCGCCAGCGTGCTCAACTGTTGCGTCATATTTCATGACCAGACGCAAATACTGCATCGTGGCAGGCAGAATATTGAACATTATTGCTCGCCAAAAGAAAAACGAGAACACTAACGATTGCATCGCAGATAAGAACCACTGCGCTCACGCGAGCAAACTTTTGCACCCCGACTACTGACCAAAGCACAGTACGATGTATGTGATCGTTTCCAACTATTGCGTGAACTATTGCGCGCACGTTTCGCGGCCCCATTTCCAAAGACCCCATTAGCCCGATTAAGAGGTGGATCAGAAAAAACACATACCATAAACAAGCCTCAACTTCCGGAGCTCCGCGCCGCCCCTGGCGAACTCCGCGCGCCAGGGAAGGGGCCCCAGCACCGATCAAAGAAATCCGCGCGGACCTCCGAAAGCGTGTGTTTATTCAGTTTGGGGGAAGCCACAAGATACCGACACCGAGACTTCTCGGACCTCCCACAGGGTGCGTTCTGACTAGAATCCCGGATCTCCCCCAGGGTGCGTTCGGACTAGAATGTCGAAGCAAATCTAGCCATGGCGGCAGGGGCCTCCCAGGGGGGGTCCGAAGGGCGAAGACCAGCGAAGAGTAGCGGCATCGTTACCATTTCTTCCTCTGGAAATCTCCTCTGCCACCTTCTCACATGTACGGAACTCCCTACTTGTTCCGCTTGCGCATGACACAATCAAGGGGGTTTCTTTGGTGCTCCAGGTCCGCTATGGCACGCGTCGACGGATCGAAGGAAAGAACAACGCAATTGAAGGGACGGGTGGGAGGTGTAGGATGTCAGATATGGCGCGAGTGCACCCAACTTGCTTACCTCGCCGTCGCTCGGATGTCTATTCCCCGTGCATGGCTCGATGTCGTGCGTGCTTTCTTTGTTGCTCGAGGATCCAGGATGCCCCCCGATGGCCCTCGCCGAGACGACAAAAAACACGTCCGAGCGATGCCAAGTTGATGGCACCTCTCGCAGGCAGGGGGGGGGGGGGGGGGGCTTCTCAGAAGCACTCCTGCTTCTTCGAAGCGGCGGGCGGAGGAGGAGCAGGAGGAGGAGGAGGGGAGGAGGAGGAGGAGGAGGAGGAGGAGGAGGAGGAGGAGGGGAGGAGGGAGGAGGGGAGGGAGGAGGAGGGAGGAGGGAGGAGGGAATCGAAATGAGCTCCCTGCGCAGGACGCGGCGAGACCTCAGCGCGGCACGAGGCCGAGGTCGGCGGGACCCGCGCCCTGCGCCGCCACGAGGCACAGCAGCGCCTCCACGAGGCGCGCGGGCGCCAGGGGCACTTGCAGATACCAGGGGACGCCGGGAGGCTCCCGCCGGCGTTGACGGGCCGAGGTTCCACCGCCGCCACCACCACCATGAGTTGGAGGGCGGGGGGGTGAGGTGGAAGAGGAGGAGGAGGAGGAGGAGGAGGAGGAGGAGGAGGAGGAGGAGTAGGAGGAGGAGCAGGAGGAGGAGGAGGAGGAGGAGGAGGAGGACCCCCTCCCTCTCCTACCTATGGTGGTGGCGGTGGGAAGCAGGCAGCACCGACTCGGGAACTCTCGGCGGCGAGCGAGGGGAGGGGACCCCTGGAGGGTCGAGCTTCGAGGTTCGAGGCGGTTCTTCCTCGCTTTCGGCCCCTAGGGGCTGTTACGGGGCCCTGGGACCCCCGAAACTCGATCCAGGGTGGAAAGCCAGGGCGGATGGACCCCAGGAGGGATCCGGGGACCGATTTTGACCGACATTCGGCAGCGCGCCCAAGGGGGGAAGTGGAAAGGAGAAGACCCTCTCAGCAGGCGGCGGGACTTCTCAGAAGCCCTCGCGCCTACTGAGAGGCTTTTGCTGTGTCTTTGGGGAGTGCTTCGAAAACTGCACAGAAGGCCGGAGACTCCCGAGCCATTCTGAGAAGGCCCACCCTTTCTCCCTTCCCCCCCTCGTTCGCCGCCGAGACTCGAGATGAGCATCGGATCGGCCCGCATCGGCACGGACTCGAGATCGAATCGGATCAGCTGCGCCAGGATGCACAACAGCGACATGCAGGATTCGGGCCGCATCGGATCGGCGGACTATCGCAATCGAATCGGATTGACCTGGCCGAACGCGACATCGCATCGGATCGATCGGACGGGAATGGATAGACCCTGGTATGGGGCAAACGCGTTCTTTTTATCAAGAACGGCGAGCGAATCCATATCTGCATCCTCGCGGGTTGGATTCCTGTGCGCGATCCCGAAGATACGCGGGGATGCGTCCCTTTCGGGGCATACGCGGAAAAACGCCTCCTATTCGCGGGGTCGCGGCCCAGGGGCCCGGCCCGCGAGGCCGCGGATACGGATACATTTTTCGCCCCCATGTTTCGCCCACGACAGCTGGCGTGAGGCAGACACGCCCTCGAGGAGGCAACTCTGGGACGTACTCGCGAAAATCATTCAGGGTTATCGAGCCGGTGGGAGACGCCAGCTGGCGTTATTGTTGCATCTTCAGGGGGCCTCCATCCCGTCGCGCCTATATCTGGGACGAATCATGGCGGAATCCATGTCGGCCACGTCGAATCCACGCTGAATCAACGTCGAATCCGCGTCGAATCCACGCCAACTCCGCGTTAAGTCCGCAGCGAGCCCGCGTCGGACGCAACAGAAGGCACGAATTTTGGGTACAGACGTGGTTTCACGAATATGCTATGCAACAACTGGTGAATGGCAGACGCGCCCTTTACGAGGCAACTCCCGGGAGGTCTTCGTGAGAAGGATTCCGGGCTACCAAGCCCGATGAAGGGCCATCAAGCGGGCGGGATTCAGGCTAGGACTTAGCCAAATTAATCTGGATTGAGCGGGGCCAAGCGAAATTGGGCGGGTTCATGGCAAATTTGCTGGGTTCCCAACACGGACATACCAACGCCGATGCTGGAGTTCACCTACCAAGAACTGCACTCGAATGCCCTAACAGACACGGGTCCTGGATCCCAGGGCCTTGCCCCAGAACCATCTCGGCATCCCCAATCGTTTCTTGACAGTCACGGGGCCCGTGGAAGGCCCTGGGCGCCCGAAAACGGCAAAGAAACAAAGAACAAACAACGGTAGAAACATACATACTCGGAGCTCCGCGCAATTTGTTCCGATCGGCGCTGGGGCCCCCTCCCTTCCCTGGCGCGCCGATCCGAGAAATCTGCGCGAACCTCCGAGGTTGTATGTCTATGCCATTGCGTGCCCCCCGGAAGCGGTGCAGGACCCGCATCCCTCAGGACCCGTTTGCTTCCCTTGCCATCGTTTGGACGTCCATTCCTTGTGCATTCGTCGGTTTCGTGCGTTTGCGTTTTGCTCGAGGATCCAGGGTGCTCCTCGATGGTCCTCGCCCCCGCCGGAGCCCGACATGCTCAGGGACACGTTCGTGGCCGTCTTCTCGGGCGCCGACAGCGACGAGGACGGCGTCCCCCTGACCGAGGAGCAGAAGCAGGAGAGGACTCTGAGAGCCAGGAGGGAGGCTGCCACTGGCGCCTTCGGTGGAGCTCCTATGGGGCCACGATCCTCGTGAGGGGTGTGCCGAAATGGCCCGAGGCCACCTTGCGATCCCTGCCACTGGGGCCTTCGGTGGAGCTCCCTATGGGGCCACGATCTTCGTGAAGGGTGTGCCAAAATGGCCCGAGGCCGCCATGCGAACGCTGCCACTGGGGCCTTCGGTGGAGCTCCTATGGGGCCACGATCCTCGTGAGGGGTGTGCCGAAATGGCCCCAGGCCGCCATGCGAACGCTGCCACTGGGGCCTTCGGTGGAGCTCCCTATTGGGCCACGATCCTCGTGAGGGGTGTGCCGAAATGGCCCGAGACCGCCATGCGAACCCTGTCACTGGCGCGTTCGGTGGAGCTCCCTATGGGGCCACGATCCTTAAGAAGGGGGGTGCCGAAATGATCCGAGGCCGCCATGCGAACCCTGTCACTGGCGCGTTCGGTGGAGCTCCCTATGGGGCCACGATCCTTAAGACGGGTGTGCCAAAATGGCCCGAGACCGCCATGCGAACCCTGCCACTGGGGCCTTCGGTGGACCTCCCTATGGGGCCACGATCCTCGTGAAGGGTGTGCCGAAATGGCCGGAGGCCGCCTTTGCGAACCCTGCCACTGGGGCCTTCGGTGGAGCTCCCTATGGGGCCACGATCCTCATGAAGGGTGTGCCGAAATGGCCCGAGGTCACCTTGCGAACCCTGCCACTGGGGCCTTCGGTGGAGCTCCCTATGGGGCCACGATCCTCGTGAGGGGTGTGCCGAAATGGCCCCAGGCCGCCATGCGAACGCTGCCACTGGGGCCTTCGGTGGAGCTCCTATTGGGCCACGATCCTCGTGAGGGGTGTGCCGAAATGGCCCAAGACCGCCATGCGAACCCTGCCACTGGGGCCTTCGGTGGAGCTCCCTATGGGGCCACGATCCTCGTGAGGGGTGCGCCGAAATGATCGGAGACCGCCATGCGAACCCTGCCACTGGCGCCTTCGGTGGAGCTCCTAAGGGGCCACGATCCTTGTGAAGGGTGTGCCAAAATGGCCCGAGGCCGCCATGCGAACCTGGCCACTGGGGCCTCCGGTGGAGCTCCCTATGGGGCCACGATCCTTGTGAGGGGTGTGCCCAAATGGCCGGATGCCGCCTTGCGAACCCTGCCACTGGGGCATTCGGTGGGGGCCACGATCCTCGTGAAGGGTGTGCCGGAAATGGCCCGAGGCCACCTTGCGAACCCTGCCACTGGGGCCTTCGGTGGAACTCCGTATGGGGCCACGATCCTTGTGAGGGGTGTACCAGGCCGCCATGCGAACCCTGCCTCTGGGGCCTTCGGTGGAGCTCCCTATGGGGCCACGATCCTCGTGAGGGGTGTGCCGAAATGGCCCGAGACCGCCATGCGAACCCTGCCACTGGCGCCTTCGGTGGAGCTCCCTATGGGGCCACGATCCTCGTGAGGGGTGTGCCGAAATGGCCCGAGACCGCCTTGCGAACCCTGCCACTGGGGCCTTCGGTGGAGCTCCACATGGGGCCACGATCCTCATGAAGGGTGTGCAGAAATTGCCCGAGACCGCCATGCGAACCCTGCCACTGGGGCCTTCGGTGGAGCTCCACATGGGGCCACGATCTTCGTGAGGGGTGTGCCGAAATGGCCGGAGGCCGCCTTGCGAACCCTGCCACTGGGGCCTCCGGTGGAGCTCCCTATGGGGCCACGATCCTCGTGAGGGGTGTGCCGAAATGGCCCGAGGCCGCCATGCGAACCCTGCCACTGGCGCCTTCGGTGGAGCTCACTATGGGGCCACGATCCTCGTGAGGAATGTGCCGAAATGGCCCGAGGCCACCTTGCGAACCCTGCCACTGGGGCCTTCGGTGGAGCTCCCTATGGGGTCACGATCCTCGTGAGGGGTGTGCCACTGGGGCCTTCGGTGGAGCTCCCTATGAGGCCGCGAAACGCTGTGCTGGGTGGGTGAAGCGCAGGGAGAAGGGAGGAAGGGGGAAGGCAGCGGGAGGAGAAGGAAGGAATGAGGGCGCGGGCGCTCTCTCTTCAAAACGAGGACCCAACACCACAGGATGGTTGGGAAAAAGACGCACACGTCCGAGCGATGCCAAGAATTAACGGGCGAAGAACGGTATAACATAAACTGTTTCGCCGTCGGGGACACCTGCCCCAGGGCGGCTGGAAAGTTTATACCCTTACGGGGGGGAAGGCTTCTCAGAGGGAGGCTGCGCCTTGGAGGGCGCGGGCTTTGACACCTCTGGACCAAGGCCCGCGCCTTCTGGGAAGCAGGGGGTGCTTCTGAGAAGCCTCCCCCCTCCCCCTGCCCCTCTCTGTTAACGGGCGAAGAACAGTAGTGGCCATCGCTCGGACGTCCATTTCCTGTGTTTCTTGTCGGATTCGTGCGTGGGTTTTTCGCCAACTGATCAAGGATGTTCCTCGATGGTCCTCGCCAGAGAAAAATGTACACATCCGAGCGATGCCAAGAGAACAGTATAACATTCACTTTTCCGCCGTGGGGGCTGCCCGCCAGGCGACCAAAAGCTTATGTTATACCGTTCGCCGCCCCCCGACTGTGCATGTGGCTCTCGTTCTAGCGCAAAGCACATTCATGCTCGAACTTTGCAAGAATTTTGCAGAAGAAGGTCGGGTCCTTTTCAAAATGCGGCTCTCGCTTGTGCGCCACGCAAATCCGCATATGCATGCTTGCAACAGCTTCAGTGGTATTCAAACTGTGGCTCTCGCCTTGGCGACGCGCACATTCGCCAAACGAATGTACAACAAGTTCGAAGATGGAGCGCTGTTCCCTTCGAAAGGTGGTTCTCGCCACAGCGCCGCGCACATTCGTCGTAACAGTTTGCAGCAGTATCAAGGTGCCGTAGAGTTGAAGTCACAGGACTGGTGTCCTGGCACGAAAAAGGATGGTCAAGACGCAACAGTCACGTTGATCCGCTGTGTAAGCCATTCGCAATAATGTTGATTCGCGGCGTTCGAATCCCAAGAAGCGATTGAGGGCACTTCCCGCAATGAATATCAACTCTTGCATGGCCTATAAGGGATGACCAGGCCAGGCCAGCGAGCACGGCAGGAGCCTCCCTGGATGGGCGCGCTGCCCCAGTGCAGCATCTGCGAGTAGAAGCCGACGGCAGCCAGTGCCACCTTCGACGACTGCAGCGCCAACGTCTGCGCGTCGCCCTGGGGCCTCCCCTCCCCCTCCCGACCCGTCGTCCTCCGTCTCCCGCCGCTTTCCCCGCCAGCCCCCCTCCCCTCATCCTCCCTCGCCTCCCCCTGGCGCCTCGCGCCCCTCCCGCACTCCCTGCTCCGCCTCCCACTCCCTCTCTCGTCCCCTTCCCTGGTCCCCTCTCCCCCGCCCCGGCCCCTCCCCCCCGAGCAGAGCAAAAACCCGCCCCCCCCCCCCAAAAAAAACCAAACCTCGGGACACGCGAACATGGATTAGCGATCCGTGGAGCTGGCGCGTCGCGTAGGCACCAGATCCACGAATCAGGGGGCGTACCCCCACCATTCGGCGAAGGAGTCCCCTTCGGCGAAGGAGCGCGCGAATGGCGCACCGAAGCGGGGCCCGTCGCTAATGCACAAGCCGGGCTCCATGTCTGCGCTTCGGCGAAAAACACACACAAAAAAAAAACGTCCCCGTCCCCGTCCCACTGCGCCCCGCCCCTCCTGGGGAAACCAACAGGTACCGATACCGCTACTCCACTGACCTCCCTTGGGTGCGCTCTGACTACGATTTCGAGGCGAATCCAGCGGTGGCGACGAGGGCCTCCCAAAAGGCCTACAAAAGGGGAAAACGAGGGAAGGGTAGCGGTATGGGTACCTGTTCCTCCTCTGACCCTTGGCCCCATCGCCCCTCCAAAGCGCCAGGTCGCCCAGGATCTCCACGGCGGCGTCCACCAGGAGGGCGGACCCCATGCTCGTCGTGGTCCACAGGGCGGCCCAGCCCTCTGCGGGGCGCCGCCCACGCTTGCTCACAGTGATGCGCTGGCGCTGCCCCGCCTTCCACCTCCAGCATCCTCCCCATTCGTGCTCCATCCATCGCTCCCTCCTCCACACCCCTCCCCGCCTGTCCTCCCCCCAACCTCCCATCCTCCCTCTCTCCCTCTCCCCTCCTCTCTCCCCCCCCTTTTTTTTGCACCCCCACCGCGCGAGCCCGCTTCCCCCGCCGCGCTGGCCCACAGGCCCTCCGAAGTGGCGGTGCTCGCGGCGGGGCGGTGACAGCCCCGAGGGGCATCCCCATCGTATTGATGGTCCAGTTGGTAGTCCCACCTCCTCCGTGCCCCCCCTCCCGCCCTCCCTCCTCCACCGATCCCCTCTCCACGCTCCTCCTGCTCCCGCTCCTCGCTGCTCGCTGCTGGGCAAAAGTGAAGCCCCCGCCTTGAAGAAAAAGGTCACCGTCAGCCCCAGCCCCGTGCACGCAGTCTCCAGCGCGAGCAGGGACCAGGGGTCGGGCGCCGAGTGGTCGGCTGCGCCCTCGGCCACAAGGAAGCAAATCACACAGATCCCATGCCGTGGGGTGAGGAGCGGGAGAAGGGGAACCACTACTCATCGCCCAGAAGAAATGGGTGGAAACATGAAGTAGGAAGGCGTTGAAAGAACATAGGGCTTCCGTCCGTCACCTGAAAAGGACAATTTGGGAACACCATTCGATATTGGAGGTAAGACAACGCCCAACACAGATCGAAACCTAAACGAAACACAGAAATCGACTTTCAACGAAAGATGGGTATGGAACACTTGGGATGAGCGGGGACGGAAGTCAGATCGTGAAACGGGTGAGGATGAGGAGGAGCGGGAGGAGGGGGATGTCGGCCAATGATGATGCAGGCGCTTGGTTTACACCCCGCTGCGTCACATGCCATTCACTGACCAGGGCAGGGGTGGGGAGTCGAGGGAGCAGTATGAGTCGCGAAGGGCCATCTTTCGAGCAAGTGCGTCGTGGAAGGTCGCCAAGGGTGCTGCTGCCTCTGAGGCAAGGAAAGCGCGACTCAGGGAGATATGGCACGTCGAGGATAGAAGAGGACCAAGGATGGGAGGATCGATCGAGGATCGGAGATGGTCGAGGATCCATCGAGGATCCGTCGAGGATCGATCGAGGGGTCGAGGATCGAGGATTGGAGGATCGATCGAGGATCGAGGATCGAGGATCGAGGATCGATCGAGGATCGAGGTTCGAGGGTCGGGGGCCGGGGATGGCGGAGCGAGAGCGGACAGGAGCACGATGGGAGCGGCGCCTCGCCCCCGTGGACTGCCGAGGCCGAGGGGGGGGGGCGACGGGGGCCGGGAGCCGCGGCGGGCGAGGCAGGCGGGCGCGCAGGGGCGAGGGGAGGAGGCGAGCTCCACCGGCCCGTCATCGGCCCGCGGCTCGGAGCGAAGAGAGTCCCTGCGCCTCCCTTCGCACCACGATTCCTGCTGAGAGCCTCCAGAAATAGGATCCCTTCTTCAACATCTACCACAAAAGGCCCCTCCCCATTGGCACTGCATTTGCATTGGATTGGGATCGCCTCGGCATTGGTTTGGCATTGCGATGGCACTGTTTTGCCATTGCGAGGGGCGACCGGCCGCGATCCCCCTGCTCCGCCCGCGTTCCGCCCACGGGGCCCTGTTGACGCTCACCCGACCAGCCCCTCGCATCCGCCCTCCCGCTGCCGCCAAATTCCCTGTGCCGCGCGGCGCCCGTCTGTCCAGTGCCCGCGGCCCCGCGGGCTGCCCACGCTTCGGGCCCCCTCGCGGCCCGGCAGCTTCTGCCCAAAGGAGAGAAGGAGGCGAGGGGGCGACGGGGGGGAGACGGGGGGGGGTTAGAGTCGAGCGCTGGCTCCCATGCGCTACCAGAGCGGGGACCGAACGAGAGCCCGAAAGGACGAACGGGCGAGGGCCAGAGATGGGGGGCAGGGAGGAAGAGGTGCGGGGTGGAGAGGGGGAGGATGGATGAGGAAATTAGGCGAGCCACCCTGAGCTATGGCTCGCATAAGGCATCCCACCCCTGCGCACCCATTCTCGTGTTGAGAAAGTGCCGAGCCTACCACGTCCTGCGGGCACCGAGTGCTTGATGCGTGCGCGGGGGAGACGGAGAAGGATGAGGGGGAGGTGGGCGTGCGACGCGCGTTGGATGCGCGTGGAAAAAAGCCATACCCCCACTTAGAAACTGGTCTCTATAGAGTCTGGCGATAACACGGGCTATCGGGCCAGCCCGATACCGCCCCCCGGATTACGTCACCCTGTCAGCTGCGCAGGTCCGAAGGTGAGGTGGTATGCAGTGTTGGTGCGCGCGGGCGCACGTGGGGCTGCCCATCGGGACCCCGACGTTCGAGCAGAAATAGGGGGTCCACGGGCTCCGCCAATCCCACAACACCGTGAACAGCACAATGCAAGCCAGTGCTCGAGCCAAATAATGTGTTCGGTGTTCTGGCCATCGCTCGGACGTCCATTTCCTGTGATTTGGTCGGTCTCGTGCGTGGTTTTTTCGCCAGATGGTCGAGGATGCTCCTCGAAGGTCCTCGCCGAAGGAAAAAAATGTACACGTCCGAGCGATGCCAAGAGCCGGTGCTCGAGCCAAATCATGTGTTCGGTGTTCGTTTCATCGTGTATACCCTCGGTCAGTCTTCGCTCCGCGCCCTTTGCAGGAAGAGCACATCCAAACACAAGCAGTCCACAAAGTCGCCAGCCCGTTGTTTAGCTCGAGCCCTGGCAGCAAAAGAAATGCAAACCGCGTAAGCCTTTTTTGCACAGGATCGGTGTGCATTCCTTTCTGGCCCAGGATCGGCTCCTTTCTAGTCTAGGCTAGAACGGAGCCGATCTAGTCTAGACTAGACTGGGCTCACGCCAAAAAAGGCTTCCGTTCTAGTCTAGGCTAGAACGGAAACCTTTTTTGGCCCAGGATCGGTGTGTACCGCCTCCCGGTGAGGCTAAGCTGGGGCCCTCTTGGGCAGCTCTTGGGGCGCTCTTGGGCCCGGCTTGGGCCTCTCTGGGGCCCCTCGTGGGCTCTCCCCCCTGTCCGACGGTCGGAGACTGTCGAGTTTCAACTCACGTGTGGCCGAGCCGAGCCTGGGCTGAGCAAGAAAAAGCGGAGGGGGGGACACAGAGCAGGAAGGGCAGCCGTCGACACCTTCGGTGTCACAGGGGAGGAAAGGGCCAAGGGGAACCTCGGAGGCCTCGAGAGCCCATTCCAGCACGGTGGGGGGGGGGGCTGGAACAAACTCTCGTATGCAGGCCAAGGCAACGGAAATACAAGAGTCCAGCCCACCCTCACTCTCAGCTGCCCCGATACGAAACACGCAACACGTAGCGTGGTGGCGCGGAGCTCAATCCAGGGATTGAACACGTACAGTCGGGGCGTTGACCTAAGGAACCCTAAATAAGGAACGAGGCATCTTTTCCATAAGTTAAATTGTGATTTCCTATCGAAAACATAAGGACAACCTGAGGCAAGCTGTGCAACACTTAAGGAACGCGGAGCCCCTCCCCAACCAAAAAGGTTCCTTCTTCAGGGCCCCACTGTAGATCTGGCGCGATACATTCGCCACGACGCGGGCTAGAGCGTGCCGAGCCAGCACGCAGCGTGTGAACGCGGACGTGCTGGACACGGTACGAGCTGCATTTCAGCACGCGCGTATCGGGACAGCCAAGAACCTCACCCGCCTCGCGGCCAGGGGGGCAGAGAGGGCGGGACAGCGGGACAGCCGCTGCAGCATTCAGGCCCCCCCCACCTGGCCATCGCTCGGACGTCCATTTCCCTTGTGTTGTCCGGTTTCGTGGGTGTTTGTTTCGCCAGATGGTCGAGGATGCTCCTCGATGGTCCTCGCCTGAGGAAAAATGCACACGTCCGAGCGATGCCAAGCCCCCTGGTCCGCGCCTCGCGCGGCGCTACGCCCATCGCAGGGGCGATGCAGTCGCAGAGGCGGCGGCCGAGCTGCACGCCGAGGCCCAGCCTCTTCAGGCCAGGAGAGGGAGTGGGGAGAGGCTGTCGGGGGGGGGGAAGAAGTTGCTTAAGGTTATGTCGGGCCTGTCTCCCTACAGGTGGATTTTGGACGAAAAATGAAGATTACCCCAGTGCGACCCTACCTAGAAGTTGGAGCCCCTAGGAAAGCAACATTAGTTGCTATGCTATGTTATGACATGCTGTAATACGCTATGATATGATATGCTATGATATGCCATGTTATGTTATGTTATGCTATGATATGCTGCGCTGTGATATGATGTGCTATAATATGATATGGTATGCCATGCTAAGCTATGATATGTCATGTTGCGCTGTGCTATGCTAAGCTATGCTATACTATGGTATGCTAAGCTGTGCTATGCTATACCATGCTAGGCTATGTTATGCTATGATATGCTGCGCTATGCTATGCTATAATATGCTCTGCTATACTATGCTAGGATATGCTATGCTATGCTATGCCATGTTGCGCTGTGACATGCGGGCTGTGATGTGCCGCGCTATGCTATGCTATGCTATGATATGCTGCGCTATGCTATTATATGTTGGGCTATGCTATGATATGCGGTGCTGCGCTATGCTATGTTGCGCTATGCTGTGCTATGATGTGCTCTGCTATGCTAAAGCTCAGCGAAGCTAAGCTGAAGGTAAACTAAACTAAGATAAACCTGAGCTAATATGAAGCCACGCTAAGCCAAAATGGTATAAACTAATATAAGATGAGATAAGCAAAGCTAAGCTAAGAGAACGTAACTGGGGGAACCGCGGGGCGGATCCTGGGGGAACCGCCCGGGGCGCTTTGCACTGCCCGGCCCCTTTAAGCAAAGAGGGTAAGAACCAGTCTAGGCAGAGCCCAGGTAGGGAAATACACCAGAAATGCTCAACATATGCCCATGTTTTGACTTTTTTTGAAGATTCCCCCTGTAGAGGGACAGGCCCGACTTAAGCTTATGGGGGGGGAAGAAGGGAAGAGGGTGCGAGGCGAGAGGTGCGGGGATTCTGCTTCTCGGATTCTCGGATTCTCGGGTGGCCACGCGCGCAACACGAGAGGACGCGGGGTCCAGGCAGAGGGAGAAACAGGCGGGCACAGACGACGGCGACGACGGCGACGATCAAAGACGACGGCTAGGACGACGACGATGGACGACCGACCGCAGCGACGCAAAGACGGTGATGACGATGACTGTGCGGGGAGGAGGTTGGAGGGAGGAGATAGGAGGGAGCTGGAAGCCGATCCCTGAAATTGCATGCAAGGCCAGGGGAACGGCTCACTGCTGCAAGCGGCGCAGTTGACCCCTCACCCCTCCTGGACCCCCCTTTCCCCCTCCATTCCTATGTAGTCTCCCTTCCAATCCTCCTGCTCCTCCTCCTCCGCCGCCTCCTCCGTCCCCCCCTTCCTCCTCCTCCGCCGCGATGTCCACCTCATCCTCATCCCCGGCCCTCACACTTCTCCTCCTTCTCCTCGTCCACGTTCTCCTTTCTACACCTATTTGATCCTGGCCATACGTACTGTCGTTTGGCCGTCCGCCGTGGTTTACCTCATCCTCCCCATCCTTCGCTTGCTATTCCGCCTCTGCCCTTAGAGGAATACAGCAAGCAACGCCAACAGACATGTCTTGAGATCCGCACGAATTTCTTGGATCCGTGCTGGGCCCCCTCCCTGGCGCGCAGAGCTCGGGAGCGGCCAAGAGGGGGGTAACCAAGAGGGGGGGGGGGGGGGGGGGGGGGGGGGCAAATCATGACCGGCGGCATGTGCGCGGCCCAGCAGGGGGGCCAGGGACGTAATGATATGAGAAGAGGCGCCATGAAATATGGGGAAATATTATGGCCCCCGCCATGATATCCACCCCCCCCTACTCATCACCCCCCTCTTTTCCGCTCCCGAAGAGCGCGCCAGTGGCTGCGACGTAGGCGCCGCCAGGGGGGTCCTGCGCCGATCCAAGGAATCCGCGCGGAGCTCCGAACCATTGTCTGCGCACGTTGTTTGCCATTCGATCCCAGTTCTCCTCTGACGTTGTTTCCTATTCGATATCCGTCCTCCTCTCGGCGACGAGCGAGGGGGGAGGTGAGAGGGAGAAGGCCCTCTCAGAAGGCGGCGGGGCTTCCCAGAAGCCCCCGCGCCTCCCGACAAGTTTCCTGCGGCTCCGGGGAGAGCTCAGACAACTTCTGCGTCAAAGGCCATATGTGTCGTCCGAGCCTCCTGAGAAGGCCCGCCCCCGAGCCGACCTGCCCCCCTCTTGCCGCAGCCCGCGCGGGAGGTGGAGCTGGAGAAGACGGGCCGACGCTGGGCCCCCAGCATCGCGGGCTCCTCTCATCTCTCGGCTCTCCTCTCTCTGCCTCCTTGTCCAGCTCCGCGTCCTCCTCCTCCTCCTCCTTCCGAGCCATCTTCGCCCCCGAGGCTCGTCACCGATCTTCGATCGCCGTCCTCCTCCCCCTCCTCGCCCCCCCCCCTGCACTGCCTCTCCCACGTGGCCCTCCCGTGTGCTGCGGGGCCGTGGCGCGCGGCGTGCCCGCAGGCCGGCTGGTGCGCTTTGCCCGAGGCTGCCTCGCAGGATGTCTCGTGCTTAGTGGGCCCTGGAAACGACAGGGCCGTTTTTGTTACCGGTTCCGTTTTGCCGTTTGTTTGCGGGTTTCGACACCGTTTTTGTTCCCGGTTCCGTCGCCGTTTTTTGACCGGTTCCGGCTACGGGTCCAATCCTGGAGCCGTTTTTGTGTCGTTTCCAGTCGCCGTTTCTTTGCCGTTTCCATTTTCAAGGGACGCTCTTTCGGAAACGGTGAAAGAACGGCCCTGCCGTTTCCGGGGCCCACTAGGGTCTCATACGATCGAAACTGCTGGCAAGGATGCGCAATGATGGTTCGGAAGCTGGGCGAAGGCTGGCAAATCCTTGGCTGCTAAAGCGATCTTCCCGGGAAAAAAATCCCCGAATCAAACTCAGCGTACTAAATAGTAAGTAAATGGGCTGCTTCCCGAAAGAACAAACACAATTTCCTGGAGCTCCGTTTCAGCAGCCACGGGTTTGCCAGCCTTCGCCTGGTTTCTGAATGATGCCCCTTGGACGCCTCTTTGGTAGCAAATATGCGGGATGCCAGATATTGGGGATGCCCATTAGACGCCCGTGCTGGGAATTTCTTCGAGCGGGGCAGGCCATCGAACGTAATAAAGAGTCAAATAGCAAAGATACAGAGGAACCCTTGGGAAACTTACACTTTTGTATCACCAAGTGCGACTGAGGATGATCGGATTGATGGCGGGTGGCTTCCAACATCGAGGTCGCTCCGGACGTCACGGCTACCTGCGCCTCCCAATCAACTCAGAAACGGTGGCACTGATGGAAGAGTGTCAATTCTCAATGCCGCGCTCTTGCTCCAAACGTCCTGACAATTTGTGTCCCCGCAAATATGTCTACATTCATGTATGGGTGTGCGTAGGTGTATATCAATATATATATATATATATATATATATATATATATATATATATGTGTGTGTGTGTACATACATAGATACACACCTAGATCAACAAATCTGGACATACGTATATACACATATGGTCGAGGGTTTGGGCCCCCCCCCCAATGCTGATACCATCGGGCCCCCCCCCCGCGCGATGGTCCCCCCCTCCCCCTATGGATGTGGTGCGGGTGTGGTGTGGGCGCTCTCTGTGAAGCCGCAACTCTCGCTCGAGACGTCCTCACAACCTGTGATGGGGGCGCTGACCAGACCGTGTGCGATGCTTTCTCTGATAAGGCACACAATGGTGCGTCGGCCCCGTCTGTCGTCCCCACCTGTCGTCCGGTGATCGTCTGTCCATCGCGTCGTCTCCGCACTCTGCCACTGGGCCCCTCTTACAATGACATACGATGGTACACTATGTGACACGGCGCCGTGTTATGGGCGAAGAAATCATGAAGCGGCGCCACAAACAAATCAATGCCTGATGATGGCGAAACTGGGAGAAACCCGGCCATCGGAAAAGCGTATGTACCCTTCCACGTCTGTCTCTCGTTTAGATCCTCCGGCTTCTTGCCCTCGCTCTCCCTCTATCTCTACTCCGCCCTCACCCTGATTGTCCTCCCCGCCGCCCGAATCCCGAACCGCCCGCATCCCATGCTGCAGTCCCCTATTGGATCACACGTCGAAACTCTCGCCACACGCATGTTGGATACCCCCGGAAGCATCCGGTACTCGGAAGCATCTCCTGGAAGGTTTTTTGTAAGAACGGCGAAAGGCTACTGAGCCCGACTTAGGGGCCAATGGGCACGACAAGATGGGGATTAGGCCTGGTAGTAAGGCTGATTGGACGGCCTGCAACGGGACTGTGCCCGAGTATGCGAGTTACCCACCTCCGACATACTGGGACCGATGCTGAAAAACACCTTCAAAGAGTTGCATCCTAAGAGTCGTGTGCGCGCCAAATCGCGTACCAGGACTAGAAAGGAGGAGGAGGAAGGAGGAGGAGGTGGACGAGGACGAGGAGGGAGGAGGAGGAGGAGGAGGAGGAGGGAGGAGGAGGAGGAGGAGGGAGGAGGAGGGGAGGAGGAGGAGGAGGAGGAGGAGGAGGAGGAGGAGGAGCAGGAGGAGGAGGAGAGGAGGAGGAGAGGAGGAGGAGGAGGAGGAGGAGGAGGAGCGGCGGAGCGCAAAGGCACCCATGGCCTGGCAGCGCTCTCGTTCATCGTGGCCGCGAGCCCGACACACAGCCCACTGTAGAGGCAGCGGGCCACGCTGAGGAACCGGTGCGGGTCCACTGCTCGGTACCTCGCGAGGCTGGCGAGGAGGACGACGAGGACGGGGGACATGGGAGAGGAATATGAGGAAGGAGGAGGGGGGAGAGAAACAAGAGGGAGTGCGAGGAGAAGGCGGAGGAGGAAAAGGGGAGGAGGCGGAGGAGGGAGGGCGCATGAGGCGCAGGAGCAGGATGAGGAGGTGGAGGAGGAAACGGAGGAAGATGCGGGACGAAGAAGGGGATCGGTTCAGGCAATCCGAGAAGGGTCCTCGATGAGGAGATTATGGGAGGGTGAAGCACGCAAGCTCCAGCCAACGCGAGGCGGGGGGGGGAACAAGAGGGGGTGCGATGACTAGGGGGGCCATCGGGGATGAAGAAAAGGGCCAGGAGGAAGGGGAAGGAGGGAAGGAGGCGGAGGAACAGGATGAAGAGAGGGATGAAACGGAGAAGGCGGAGGAGGAGGAGGAGGAGGGGGAGGAGGAGCCGGAGGGAAGCGAAACAGGCAATGCGGAGGAGGGGGAACCCCCAACTGGACTACCAGCAACAAAGGGAGGCCCCTCGGTGCCGTGACCGCTCCCCCGCGAGCGCCTCCACACCGGAGGACCTGCAAGCGAAGTGGAGGGATGGGGATGAGCAGGGGAGGGGGGAGCCCTGGCCGGGACTGGCGGATGAAAGACCCCGAAACGAGTCCCCGCCCGAGCGCCCGATCAGAGCTGCCAAACAAGAAACGAAAAAAACAAGGGGGAGGAGGCGGGCGGGGCGAGGGAAGAGGTGGAAGGAGGCTGAGGAGGATGAGGAGGGAGGGGGAGGAGGGGAAGGATTAGGAGAAGTAGGGGGAGTGGAAGGAAGACGAGGAAAAGGGGGGGGGACAAGGAAGGCGGATGAGGAGGAGGAAATGAGAAAGGGAGGATGGGGAGAAGGATGGTGAGGGGGGAAGAAGAGGCGGAGGAGGAGGAGGAGGAGGAGGAGGGAGAAGGGATGCGGATGATGAAAGAAAAGGAAAAAGGGGAAGAGTAGGAGGAAGAGGGTGCGGAGGGGGAGGGGGGATGATGATGGGGGCGAGAAGGAGGGAGATGCTGACGCTGCTGATGATGATGATGACGATGAAGATGATGATGACGATGATGATGGTTTTTCCCCCACCGCAGACCGCGCGCCGATAATCCTTATCCATAGTCCGTGAACTGTGAGGGCCACGCAGCGGCAGGCCAGGCCTGCCTAAGTCGAGGACCGCGCAGGAGGGGGGAGCAGAAGCAGCAGAGGAGCAGCGAAAGAGGAGAGAGAGGACAGGGTACGTGAAGCCAGCGCACTGCGAGAGGCCGATCTTCGGCGACCCGCGGGAGGTACCGTGGCACCTCGCGCGCGGGGCGGGGCGGGGCAGTCCCGCCCGCTACCGATCCTCCCGCACGAGAGTCCTCGGCAGCGGGGGGGCGCACTCGGCGACGGGGGAGGACAGAGTCCACGCCCCGCAAACCTCGGGCGCTTGCGACCCAGGCAACCGCCACCTCGACCCACAACCCAGGCCCGAGCACACACCTAGACAAAATCGAGAGGCGGGCGCCCTTCCTCCCAGAGAGGCGCAACGGGCACAGTTGAACAGGTCGTCGACGGGGCGGGCGGCGGGGGCGGCAGGGAGCGGCGGGGCGGGTGCGCGCGCGCCCCCGCGCGCGCTCCCCCAGCCAGGCGGGGGCCCAACCCCAGCAGCAGCAGCACGCGCGCAGCGGAGCGCAAGCAGCGAGAAGAACCGAGGGGGCGGGCCGGAAGAAAGGCAGGGGAAACAGGGGAAGGCAGGGGCGGAGGAAAACCGAGGACCCAACACCGCCCACCCCGCAGGGGAGAGGCAGCGGCAGAGGCAGGGGAGACGGAAGACAGCAAGCGACAGGAGAGGCAGAGGGAACACAAGGAGGAGCACAAAAGCAAACGCGCGAGAGATGAAAGGGAGCGGTCACACCCAGACGACATCACTTCACGTGGCAGCCCGCCCAATACGCCGTGCCCTGAACTGTCGTGCGACACCAGCATACCGACTAGCTAGAAGACGTAATCGTGCAACGAAGACCTGGGGCGAGGGGACCTGAGTCTGGCGCCGATGATGAGCATGCGTCTTCAGAAAAGCATCGAGGAAGGCAGCGCAGGCAACGTCGCGGCCGAGCCCCCAGGAAGGCCCCATCAGACAGAGACATGTAAGCCATGTATCTCGGTGCTGCCACATCTCCCTCCACGGCGTGGGTAATGCTTCAAACCCTGGGAGACGGTGCAGTGCAAGGTCACGGAAACGACCGCAGATTTTGTAGTGGAGTAGGTCATCAGGGGCCACACAACCACAGCAGCACCCACGGTCATTCGCATGAAAACGTGCCGAAGTACACGCGCCCCTGGACAGTGCGCGGAGAACGTTGGTAGCGAGATGAGTGCACGTGGCACGCTCCACGGAGCGCAATCTAGTCCGCAGGCGGAACATATCCTCGAGGGGGGCTGCAACTAACCACCTCGATACCCGCACACCCAGACACAATAAGGGAGTGGCAGTCATACGAACCGAACGTAAGTGCCGATGGGCCTTGGCCTGGATATAACGGGCAGTTCGACCAATGGGGGAGTTCACAAGGTCCGCCGCATCCTCATTCGTCGTGCGTGTCATCGAATGGCACCACCATCCAGAAAACATATGAGCAGGAATAAATTCATCATCCGTCAAGCCACCCGCTAAGCCCTCTAACTCATATAGTGCATAGTCGAATGCCTTGCACCGCATCACCACCCCAAATTTCGTAGCTTTACCATACAGCCCCAGGTCCACGAACTCAAGAGAGACCCCCAGGTCACGTAGCTGAGTGAGCATAGTGGAATTGAACGCATGCCGAGGCCCCGCGGTAAGCATCTGCAAAGCTTCCCTATACTGACGCCGAACCAAAGGGGTGACCCTCACCAACTGAATCCGATACTGCAAGACGGATTGGCGATTAGAGTTGAACAGACGGATAGTGGTCGCCAAGCCCAGCGAGAGAGAGCGAAGAAGACGAACTCGCTGCCATAACTTATTCATCGTTTCCACCCAGGCCACTTCATGGGCCGACGGGCCCACCCAGAATCCGAAAAGCAAAACTCTGGTGGCGAAACGGACCGAGGCGAAACGGCTGCCTTTCCGAGCCATGTGGGCAGCGAGGGCATCTCCATCCAGCGCCCCGCAGATCAGGACGTAACATTTCCCCACATTCAAAGAGAGACCAATCGCGGACGAGAGCAAGTCGAGAAGCAGCAAGGCGGGCATGAGATCGATGAGAATGTCACGCACTCCAAAACAACAGTCACCAGCGTACGCTACTTTGACACCCACACGTTCGACACGGCGGGCACGGATCCAGCGCAGTACAGGGTCAAGGGCCAGAGCAAAGAGGGTCATGGACGCAGGATCACCCTGCCGTACACCTCGTTCCACAGGGAAAACCGTTTCGGCTGCGCCCTCAAAACAGACCAGGGCCGTATTGTTGGCATACAGGGCTCTGAAGAAACCCACCGTCCCGCTGGGGACCCCCATGGCCACCAAAACGGCAAAAAAAAAAAAAAAAACACTCGGCCAGGATCGAAGGGGACGCCGCCTCGAAATCGGCGAACAAGACCCCCGCATTATTCCTCCCAACGACATTGTCCAGAATGTTGCGCCCTCGAACCCCACCGCGCTGGGAGACATCCACCGTCGCAAGAGCGACGTCGTTGTGTCCAAGGCAGAAGGCATCGGAGAGGATCTTCGCATCCGCATTCGCGAGGGAGAGCGGGCTGGTGGAGGCAGGTGCACGTGAGACAAGGTCACTGTGATCACGGGGGTCACTGCCCTTCGGGAGGAAAACCATACGACTAACTCGACACCCAGGGGGGATAGCATCTCCTGCACTGTTGAAAACCTCCTCGTAAACCTCGAACAAAGCAGCGGTCGCCTCGGGGACCTTCCAGCATCCATAAGGGATCCCATCAGGGCCAGAAGCAGAATGAAATTTATGGCCGACACGGTCCCGAAATTCGCCAACATCAAGTTTTTCACCGTGGGGCAGGAGTACAATCGCCAGTGGTCTGAACGTGGGCCAACATTTCTTGCCAATGAGTCGGGTCGTGATCAGCATGTGCAAAGACGTTACTCCAATGGGCCACCAGTGCCGCAGAAGCCGCTTCTGGGGAGGCACACGGGGCCCCGTCCTCGCCCAAGACGCCTAGCAGCCCAGTCCTCCTCCTCAGGAGATCCCACCCACGCCTAAGAGCCACCAGCCTCCGTCTCTTCTTGGTCCTAACCTCCTCCACCTGGTTGCTATGATCCAACTCCTCCAGCTCCGCATCAAACCAACGCCCCATTCAAGGTCAGTACTAAACTGCGGAGGCCATCAGGATCAATGCCCACACCGCCGTCGACGCCGAAGAAAGGAAGGACAGCGGCGCAGCAGCGAATGGCACGAAGACAGAGATACCACTGCCGACCCCGCCATCCACGGTATGCCATGAAGGCAAAGTGGAGCCGCTCCGCATCGTTGCCCGCTGGGCGACACTTAAGGGACTTCTTAAATTCCACAGCAGCCGCACCGAAAACTTCTTTCACCCTTGCGAGTTTCTGGGCAGGGTCCGAAGGGGGCGTCAGCTCCCGCAACTGTTCGGAAACCATCATGTGGTAGTCGGCATGCTGGCTGATCCATGTCGGAACCGAGAATCGACCCCTCGGGGTCGGGGGGGAAACCGTGGCAGCGACGGGAATGTGATCGGAGGAGGCCCCTGGATGCATGAGAGTGCCGACAGCGTTGGCAACGACGGTCATCTCATTGAGAATACCTGCAGGAAGGGTCGTGTAAATCCGATCAAATCTGGCCAATTCCCCTCAGTTCCCGATTCACAATATCCCTTCGGGTCGGATCGGGCTGGTATAATTCACACCAGTGGCTACAATGCTCCTGAAAAGCATCACATTGCATCCGTTCCCCAGGCCCAATCTCCCCTGAGACAAGAGACCTACCATCCTCCATCGTACAGAAATTCCAGTCTCCCAGAATGACAACCATAGAATGCGCTGCCGCAGGAAGGGCGGCATTGATGAGGCGTAAGTACTGATGGTAGATATGGACGTCGTCACACGCGTTAGGCATATGAACGTTGACCACGACCAAGTCGCCTCGAGGTCCCCGACCATGGACGAGTAACGCCCGCCCAGGACCGACCGTAATCGGAGCGATCGAGTCGAAGCAGTCACATAGAACCGAAGACAAGAACGTCACCACCCCACCCGCGCTCCGATCACCCAGAAAGCCCCCAAAAAATGCCCAGTCCGCATTTCGTCCCGAAAGAAAACCAAGTCTGCTTCAGATCCGTGCGTCTCCTGTAAACACATGAACTGATACTGTAAGAGCAGCTGCTCAGCCCGAAGGAAGCGTGAACGCGACCGAGATGAACGAGACGAGAGAGAGGCAAAGAACGCGCGCGCGTTCCAAGTTCAGAGGGACAGAGGACGGGCAGGACGGTAGACACCACCAGCTTCCCCAGCAGGCGGCGAGAAGGATAAAGCACTGTCACTTGCATGGTGCGCGCCAAAATTGGCAGGGAGGGCGGACGAGCACTCAGTAGCCGAACCCGCTGGACTTCTCCCCGCCGCACACTCACCTGTCGAACTGTTCCGATACCCACCGAAAGGGGCGAATCTCTGCGAACCTGGCGTGCAGACACTGTGCATGTTGCTGCCCGCCCACTTCCGTCAACCCATCGATCTCGACGCCATGCTGAACGGTGCCCGCGGTGGGGCCATCATCGACAATAGAAATATGTACCACTTGCACGGGGACTCCGTTGTCCTTCATCACATAAACCGCACCTCCTAGCACCGTCGACCCACCTTCTCAGCCCCAAAGATTCTGGAGACATGCTGGCGCATATTCCCAAGATAGTAGAACAGCTTCCTGGATGAGGGGGGGGATCACGTCGGACCCGTAGCTGCAAGTCGGGACCGCCCTCGGGGCTCGGGAAGGGGAACGCGCCCACGGACGATGCCATCCCGTGGAACGTGGAGGCCTCTTGGTTGGAATCAAAGTCAAGGAACGCCTTCTTACTGCAATCGTAGGCCTTGACCTGCATCGAACCCTGAGTCGAAGACGGAGCACAGCGGGTGATGATGCTCTGGACAGCCTCACGGAGCGTTTTCTCCATCAGCGGCCGAGGGAATCCAAGAACCACAAGACGCGAGGGGTTGCCCACGAGACCATGAGTCGATCTTCCGACGAACTTGCCTTTCATCATCCCCGCGGGGTGTCGGGGTCCCCAGCTCGACGACTTTCTGAAGGTCCTGAATCTCATCGCGCATCGTCTGGATCATTCCTTTGAGCTCTCCACGAATGGCGGATTATGCGGTCCCTCGGTCCTGAATGCACTGAAGAAGAGCCTGTTCATGGATCGCTCGCATCTGCTCGAAATTGGCAGCAGTCTGTTTTGCCAATTCAGTGCGCGCCTGCTGTAATGTCTGGAAATTCTTCTCAGCGGCGATCATCTGACCCTGGATTCCCGAAATATGTTGGTTTATCTCCTGAACGCCGAGATTCAACTGACTGGACAGGCTTGCGACTGACGACGACAGCGGCGCAATATATCACGCATGGCGGCAAGGATCTGCTCGGTGCCCCTCTTACCCTCCGAGCATGTACCTCCAGGCGCCGGCGGGGGAGTACTCATCCCTCCAGGGGAAGCGGGAGGAGTGGATGAGAGAGACACGGGCCACGAGTCGCTGACCTCGGACCGCACTGCGGGAGGAGAGCGCGGCCTCGGCGGGCCAGGGGAGCGCGGCCACGCAGGGCCAGGGGAGCGCGTCCGCTCCCGGCCTTGGTGCCTGGCCACCAGGCGCCTCGAGAGAGGTTGGAAGTTAAGGAGCAGGCCCCTTGAGCCAAAAAGGCTACGGATGACGATGCTGATGATGGTGATGATGAGGATGGTGATGGTGATGGTGATGGTGATGGTGATGGTGATAGTGATGATGATGAGGATGAGGATGATGATGATGATGATGATGATGATGATGATGATGATGATGATGATGATGATGATGATGATGATGATGGTGATGGTGATGATGATGGTGATGGTGATGATGATGAGGGAGGAGGAGGAGAGGAGGAGGAGGAGGAGGAGGAGGAGGAGGAGGGGAGGAGGGGGGGGGGAGGGGGCCAGATGAGGTAGGGGGATGAGGATGAGGAGAGGAGTGATGGAGGAATGCGAGGGAGAAGGGGCAAGGCACACCACCAGGGACAGCGGTGCGCGGTGCGCAGCCCCTTCGCCGCCCTGCCCTCGGCTCTCGTCTCCCGTGCGGGTGCCGTAGTCAGCCAGAACAACCTCGGCGAGGCCCCCAGCGAGGAGGGCGAGGGAGGAGGGAGGGGGGAGGGAGAGGGAGGGGGGAGGGAGGGGTAAGGGGAATGGGGAGGGAGGGAAACTATGAGGAAGGAGGGAGGGGAGGAAGGGGAGGACTGGGAAAGGGGGACGGGAAACGACGCGGAAGGGGGGGGAAGGAGGGGGTTGGGCATGGAGCAGGGAGGTGGGGGTGGGGAAGGGAGGACGGGGGGGAGAAGAGAGGGAGGAGGGAAGGATGACGAGGGAGAGAGGGGGAGGAAGTACGGGGGAGGGGGAGGGGGAGGGGGGAGGGTGGGGGGGGGCCGGATGGTAATGGGCTGTCTTTGGCAGGGCGTGGGAGGAGGAATCGCGCGAGGGGCTGGGTTCGTTGCGAGTGGGGGGGGGACGTGAAACGGGCCGTCGGGCGGGGTGGCAGGTGTGCGCGTGCTTGTTGAACAGCTCGGGGAAGGCAGGTGAGGAAGGGGCGGAAGACGAGGCGGAGGCGAGGGGCTCCCTCCGGTCCTCGTCCCCCTGCCACTTTCCTCCTTCTCCTCCTCCTCCTCCTCCTGCTCTCCTCCTTCTCCTCCTCCTCCTTTTCTTTCTCCTCCTCCTCCTCCCCCTCCTCCTCCCCCTCCTCCTCCTCCTCGTCCTTGTTCCTCTCCTTCCCTCCCTTTTCGCTTCCCGCTCCCCTTCCACGTCGCCTTCCTCTCCTCCTTCCCATTCGAACCGTCGTGCCCGACCCTGGCAGCCTCCCCGTAGTCCTCGCGGATCTTGGATCGCGCAGCCGAGTATATCTCGCCAAGCTCCCGCAGCTGGACCAGCAGCGCCTCCTTCTGCGTCGCCTCGAAGCCGCAGTAGAACAAGAGGGACTGCTTGAAGTGACCCCCGTAGAAGACAACAGGCGGAAGACTGGAGCCCGTCTCTCGGAGGCCTCCCAGATGGGAGTCCGAGGGTCGCGCAACATCGCCGCTGCATCGGCGACGTCGGCGATGCGACCCTGCTGCATCATGTTACGCAACCGTCGTTGACCATGGGGGGTGGGCGGGCTTGGGCGGGGCGAGGCACGTCGTAGCGGGGGTGCGGTGCGATCGCTGTGGTGCGCGGGCGAGCACCGACATCTGACGGGGGGGTCTCACCACCCCGCCCCCTACTCGCCGTCGCTCGGACGTCCATTTCCCGTGCACTTGTTCGGTTTCGCGCGTGTTTTTTTCGCCAATTGATCAAGGATGCTCCTCGATGGTCCTCGCCGAAAGAAACATGCACGCGTCCGAGCGATGCCAAGGCCCCCTACGTAAGATCGTTACCGTTACCCGGGGGGGGGGCGGGCAGCGACCGTCCGGCGCCAGAGGATACAACACACGCTCGATGCATCGGCGCAGTCGGCTCGGAGAAGACCGGGCTTCGCACGGAGCCACGTCACCGATGCATCGGCGACGGGGCGCGATCCTCTGACCCCATCTGCTCGCACCCATCCCTCGACCCTGGCATCCTTACTCCGTGCTCTTCGAAGAAAGCTCGCACTATGCCGCTCATGCTACCCATGAACAAAAGCTTTAGAAGCTCGACGCCCTCCTTTCAGTACGGACGGGCTGTAGCCACCAGTGCAAACTGCATGGCAGGACTGGGACGCGTCGCATACCGGCTGGAACATGTCAAACTGTGAGCCTCGCCTCAGCATCGCGCGTACTGTTTTTGTTCCTGTTCGGGGCCCATCGGCATTCCATCCCAAAACTAGCGGCCCATGTCTTACCTCCGCAAGTTTTCGGAAGCGGGGCTGCGTGCGAGCGCTTCCCGTTAGCCAGGTCGGAGCGCGCGCCAGTGCCAATCTGCACTTGTGCCTAGAATGGATCTTGAATTCGGGGACGGGGGGTGGAGTAGGGGAAACTCCTGTTATCTCGTTCGAGCTGGCTAGCTTGGCTCGCACTCTACGCCTACTCCTACGGTCAAGCTGCAACTACTACCACAAGGAACTCCAAATAGGGAACGGACCCCCTGTGGGACAAAAAGGGTTTGGATGAACGAGGCGAGCTACAGGAACAGCCATGCAGGAAACCAAGAAGCACCGAGCCCTTCCAAACCCGAACTGCTCCTCGTTCCAACGCGTCCTGGCTGCTTCCAACTCTACTCGAACTGTGTCGACACCATCGCGCAGACCAAAGCTCGGAGGCAATCAAGCAGAGGGGGTGTCCAAGAAGAGGTCTCGCAAATCAGGACCCCATGGCAAGTGCGCAGGCGAAAGGGGCCCAAGGGACGCGTCGGAAGAAGAAGAGGGGGTCGTGCATTCCCGGCAGACGTCGTGGACCCCGCCATGATCCCCCCCTCCCCCTGGTAGGACGAGAATGATGTCACGAGGCGACCGGCTCAGGGCACGCTCCAGGGAGACCCCCGGGGCATCCAGCGGCCCTCGTTCCGGGAGCCCGCGCGGACCAGGCAGGAGGTGCCGTTGGCATCCCCGCCCACCCTGGCCGCCCCCGCAGCGCGAGAGGGCGCCAGGCTGCCCCCCCCCTCGTGCGCGCCGCCCGTGGACATTAGGGCAGCATGCCATGTTCGAGCAACCTACCCTGGCCATCGCTCGGACGTCCATTCCCTGTGTTCTTGTCGGTTTCGCGCGTGTTTTTTTGTTTCCGCCAAATGATCCAGGATGCTCCTCGATGGTCCTCGCCGAAGGAAAAATGCACACGTCCGAGCGATGCCAAGCAGTGAGCAGCATGCCATGCTCGAGCAACCTACCCTGTGCAGCCCACGCGAGTCCTGCTGCACTCGGCCCTCCTCCACTGTACTCCGCCTGGAGCCCTACTGGGCCGACCCCACCTGTCCCTTTTTGTCAACTCTGGTCTGCTCTGCTCCGTTCTGCCCCGCTATCCCCGCCAGGATATCCACTCTCCCTCCTTTCCCTAAAGGCTTGTCGACTTTTCGCCAATCGACTTGTAAAAATCAAGCCAGATAAATACAGATAAATGCAGACACATCGAAGTACATCCAGGTAAATCCAGGTAAATCCAGGTAAATCGAGATACATCCAGGTACATACAGAGATCTCCAGGGAGAGTTGGAGCAATTCGTGGCCGCTCCAGCGCGAGTCGAAGGACGGCAGAAGTCGGTCAGCCTTTCACGATAATTGGCCCCCCCACACCCCACTGGCCGTATCATAACCTGGGCGTCTTGCTCATTCCGGTTTGGGCGTCACTGGCATCACCCCCCCTCCTTCGGCCCAGGAGACGCGAGAGGGCGCCAGGCCGAAGCCTACAGAACCCAGGGACATCTCGCAGCGCATCGTCATCATGACGTCTTGCGCCTTTGACCCAAGGTCGGCGGCGAGCCCGGGGTGACAGGGAACACACGAAGGGGCGGGCTTTCTCAAAAGGCTCGGAGGTCCCCCGCCCTTCTGAGAAATTGTCCTAAGCCCTTCCCCGAAGAAGCACACACACACAACACGTGTCAGAAGGCGCGAGGGCTTCTGAGGAGTCCCCTATCGCTTTTTTGGAGTCCCGAAACGGTGCGGTGACAGACCGTGCTGTGACCTCGAAATCCCCCAAGACCTCACCGCACGGTCCGTCACCGCACGGTCTTGGGACCCTGGAGGCCTCTGTCGCCCGAGACATTCTCGGAGAACGACCTGAGTCCCAAAACCGTGCGGTGACCCCGAATCCCCACCGACTCACCGCACGGTGTGGTCACAACCCCGTTGGTGGGCCCCCGAGCTTTGCCCCCCCCCCTTCGCTCGCCGCCGAGACGGGGCGGGGGCCCGGGGGACACGCCGACAGCAGACGAGGGGGCCCTGGGACACCCCCCCTCGGCGCCCCCCCCGGCTCCGTGGCCGCCCCCTGGGACGATCAGAGACATACTAATGCTACATGTCCTGCTAGGAGGCGCTCGTCCGACCCGAACATACAGTATACCACTCATGCAGCATGTCGTTTCCCAAGCGGTACAGCCAGAAAGCGCCCGCCACGACGAACGTGCTGCAAGATTTCGCAGTGCGCGCGTCGCCTCCGGCAGGGGGGGGGGGGGGCGACGCACACATAGTACTATAATACTGGTACGTTGGGGCGACGCCGACCCCCCGCAGCGCGAGAGTGGGCGCCAGGCTGCCGCCGGCCGCAAGAGGGTCAGGCCGCCGACCCCCGCCTGCAGCCAGGGCCGATACGCCTCGCAGAAGCGGACCACCGGGCGGGCCACGGCGACGGCCCTGCGCCTCGGGAGGGGAGGACGAGTGCCGCTACAGTCGGACTCGGTTGGACAGGACACGCGAGAGGGCACGAGACCCTTCCGAGGGCCACATTGCCACAGGAATGTGGGAAGCGTGGGTCGCGAGACACAGGACACAAGGGCACCCTTGACTTGGCAGGGTCGACCTACCAATCCGGGCCGACTGTAAAACCTGCATGAAGCATGGGTGGTTAGGACGCGAGACCCTCGGAGGCCGAAGACTGGATCTCTTGAGCGGCGGGCGACCAGTGGAAACGGCGGAGGACGGGCCGCATAGGCAAAAGGGCAGAGGGGCATACCCCAGGTGAAGGCGCGCGCCCTGACTCGGCGCGTCGACTGCACGGCAGGCTCGTGTCGTGTCGTCTTCGGCATTGGTTCCTGACACCGCGGGGATCGTCCAGTCCGGAACGCTCGGCCGTCCTCGAATCGCCAGATCGTGCCACATCGACTGAGTCGGGATCGCCAGCGGCGATCAACGCTGGACGCCGGCGGCGGGGTCGCCGACGGTCGACACGACGCGAACCTGCCGCACGAGGAGGGCGCCGGGCAGAAGGCGCGAGGGGGAAGGAGAAGCGAAGGGGAGAGGGAGGACTAGGAGGAGGAGGAGGAAGAAGGGTGAGGAGGAGGAGGAGGAGGAGGAGGAGGAGGAGGAGGAGGAGCAGGAGCAGGAGCAGGAGCAGGAGGAGGGGGAGGGGGAAGAGGAGGAGCGATGAGGGAGGAAGATGAGGAGGAGCGGGAGAGGGTGCAGGGTGAGACGGAGGCGGGGTGAGGAGAAGGGAGAGATGAAATAATAAAGGGCCAGGAGGAGGAAGAGGAGGATGCAGGAGTGGGAGCACGCGGGGGAGGAGAAGGAGCGAGTGAGGAAGAAGAGAAGCGAGAAAGACGAGGGAGATGGAGGGAGCACGCGCAGCACGAGGAAGAGGAGGAGGAGAAGCAGGAGGAGGCCGACGATCCTCAGGCGCTCGGCCTCCCGCTCGACCTCGTCGAGCGTGACCCTGCCGTCGTCGTCCTGGTCCACCCATCTCAGCACCCGGTCCATCGAGACCCCGCTGGAGCGGGCGATGCAGTCAACCCGCGGAGTAAGGATGCACGATAAGGAGGCAAGGGCCTTGGAAAGCCCGCCCCAAGGGTACCCTGAGGGGCTGGCCAGCGAAAGTTGCCAGGGATGGACCGAAGGGGCAAGGATGCAAGGGTACTCCAGATTTCGTAATAAAAGGGAGGGGGTCTCAACCCTCCCAGACGAGAAGTTTTAGACCCCCCCCCCGTGGGAGAACCCTCCAAAACATCGTCCCCAGACCCCCCCAGGCCCTCCAAGATAGCATGGAAGAGACCCCCCCCGAAATGAGACCCCCCTCCCTTTATTACGAAATCTGGAGTAGCCAAGGACAAGTTGCTCATCCTGACTCCGCGGGTTGACTGTACCACTCGGGGTTGCGGCGAGGATGCGACGGCCCCCCTGGTGGCCAAGGGTCGGCTCGAGCCGAGCCGTGCAGGCTAGGAAACGGCTGGCTACGTCGTCGGAGGGTGCGCTCTTGCTGGCTGGTCCAGTGGGAGCGATGGCCCCACGCATTTCTCCAGCTGGACACAAGGATGAGTTTGGGAGGCCAATGTGGCCTCCAAGAAAACACCGGACGCCATGGAAGGCCTACAAGACGCCGCCTGTACTGCTTCTTCTCAGTGTCCGAGATCGCACAATGTGGTCTCAAAGATGGCCCCAAGGCACCCCCGCACTCACACTGCTCAATATCATCCAACTTGGCCCACGGCGGCGTCCATAACGACCTCGAGGGAACCCCGCATGGATCTCAATACGGTCTCAAGTTTGTCATGTGGCCTCCCGAGCAGCCCCTGGAGAGGCCACGACCACGGAGCGCAAGCTTGTTTGCAGTGTCTTGGCCTTGGCTCTGTCTGAGCTGGTTTCGAGATACAACCAGGCACTGACCTCAGGATGCTCCAATCTGGCCCGAGAGGGGGCCCAGGCCATATCAATTCAAGCGAAACCCCCAAACGCTCCTCCCGGTCAACGCACTTCCAAGGTGATACCGGGGAGAACGCGTTGATCCCCGCCCGGCTAGCTCCATACTTCGTGCCCTTTATGAAGGCAACAGGACGGCTTTGTGACGTGTTCGAGTGATCATGGAAGGTGGACTCTGGCCATCAGGGACGGACGGGGGGAGGGGCGCCCCAGGAGGCCTCGGCGAGAAGGTCAAAATCATGGATTCCATCAAGGTTTTCGCCACACGTTGGCGGCCCCCCCCGGTGGGGGGGGATCCTAAGTAAGGAGCCCCCATCGTTTGATCGATCTACTCCACGATGGCCCCACGATGGGCCCCCGAGGCTCCTAAGGGTGCCCCAAGAGGGCCCCAAGGTTCCCAGGAAGCTCAAGAGGCTCCAAGGAGCCCCCCAGATGCCCCCAAGAGGCTCCCAAGAGACCCCCAAAAGACCCCCAGAGGACACCCAGAGGCACCCAAGACGCCGCAAGAAGCTTCGGAAACTGTTCATACGGGTGTTGGCCACATTTTGGCCTTCTGGGAGGGGCCCTACGCAAGGAGCCCCCTCCTTTGATCGATCTCCCCCAAGATGAGTCAAAGATGGCACCCGAGGCTCCCAAAGGAGCTCAAAGACGGCCCCAAGAGGTGCCCTGGAGGCCCCCAGGGACCCCCACGATGCCCCGAAGATGCCCCGAAGAGGCTCCCAAACGCCCCGAAGAAACTCCAAGAGGCCTTCCGGCGCACTCAAGACGCCTCAAACGGCACCCGGGACTGCCAGGAGACCCCAAACACGCCCCGAGAGGACTCCAAGAAACTCCCGAAAGAAATCCGAAGAAACTCCGAAAAACATCCAAGAGGCCTCTGGCCTTTCCGCTCACCCTCCTATTCCTCCTCTTCCTCATCTGCCTGCCCCTCCTCCTTTCTCCTTCCTCATACCTCCTCCCCCTCGGCTAACTCCTCTTCTTTCTCCTGCTCCTTCTCAGACTCCTCCCATTCTCTCCCTCTTGGGGTACGACGTCTTACCCAGCAATTGAATACACATCCCTGATCAAGCCAACTTGTCTGGGCATCGTTTCTGGATGGGCTGGTGGGATTGTGTAGAATATTGCTCCAACTGGGAACATGGGTCCTCCGTGGAGGCCAAGCTAAGCTGGCGTCCAAGAGACGCTAGGGATGACCTCCAACTCGGCTCCAGAAGGCATCACAGATTTTGAAGATGACCCACCATGATAACGAATAACCTTCAGAGAACTCCAAATGAGCCCATCTACGGCTGCAAGGTGTCCCCGCGTCTTTCGACAGTCATCTTTAGGCGGCTGAGTGAATCTTTGAACACCAGGCTTGCCTTACATAATTCGGCCTTCCCACCTCCTCTGCCTCAGACTATTTCACTCTGCCCTGACAGAGCCGCGAACACCCTGGACAGATCCTGGGTGTTGCATCAAAACGGCGCCGAGACCCTTCTCAGCTGCCCCAAAACTTCCCAGCATCGATTGAGAAAACGCCAAACCGCAGTCCGAATACCACCCCACGACGCCAACTGACGGGATGCGGCGGAGCAGTCTCCCCCCAAAGAAGCCTCTGAAGTGGCCCTAGATGGCCCAAGAATGCCTTGATTTGGGGAAACCAGAAGGTACCGATACCGCTCCTCCCCGGGACCTCTCCCGGGGTGCATTCTGAGCAGAATCTCGAGGCGAACCCAACGGTGGTGACGAGAGCCTTACAGGAGGCAGAAAAAACAATTAGGAAGAGGTAGAGATATTGGGTGCCTGTTCCTCCTGTGATAATTGAGTCCCCCCTACCCTCTCCCGACGGTGCCTTGATGGGGTGGCCGATGTCCTGCTCCATTGCTCGCATCACGTCGACGGTCTGGAAAGCCACGCCCTCCCGTGCGGCCGCCCCGCCAGCGCGTGATAGAGAGAGAGAGAGTTAGAGGGAGAGAGAGGAAGAGAAATGGGGCGAGATAGAGAGAGAGAGAGGGAAGAGAAGGAGGGAGAGAGAGAGAGAGAAGGAGAGAGAGAGAGAGAAAGGAAGAGAGACAGAGAGTGCGAGAGAGAGAGAGAGAGAAAGAGCCAGTGACACAAGTGATCAGGAATTGAAAAGGAAAGGGGGCAACGAGAAAGAGAGAGAGAGAGGGGGAGAGGACAAGTTAGGTGCGCTCGCGCCATATCTGTCATCCTGCCACTCCCACCCATCCCTTCCCGCTGCGCTGCTGTTTCCTGTATCCGCCGACGCGTGTCCTGTCGGACCTGGGACTCCAGGGAGGGGGCTTCATCGTGCCATTCACCATCGGGCAAACACGGAGCTGCGCAGATTGGAAGAGGTGGTGGCGGATGAGCATGCAGATGAGCAGGGGGAAACAACGGAGGATCAGAAAGGAGGAGGCTGAGGTCGAGAAGCAGCAGCATTCACCTCAGTGGCAGGAGCGGAAGGAGCAGGAGGACCAGGGGAAGGCAGAGGAGGGGAAATGAGGGGGGCGGCAACGATGCAAATGTGACTCGGATCCGGAAACATGCTCCGAACAGGGGCGAGACAACCATTCTGAACAACGGGAGCAAAGCGGCTATCCGAAAATGAGGCCCACGATGCAGCGGGAGCACCATTTTGAAACACCAGAAACGATCGGACTGCACAATGATCATAAGACAATGGAGCGCAACGGTTGACATCTCCTGCGTGACAAGCACTGCGCGGAGAGGGCCACAGATACTCCAGGCAGAGTCGGGGGAGAGAAATGAGTAACACTCACGATGTGCACTCGTAGCATTAAGTCGGGCCTGTCCTCCTACAGGGGGATTTTCTCAAACCATGAAAAATACCCCGAACATACTCCAGAATGGTCAAACAAATGCTCTAAAATGGTTCCCAGACTATTTTTCGAGTCTTTTGGAATCTTTCCCTGTAGAGGGACAGGCCCGACTTAATCGTAGCAAGAGCGAGAGAGAGAGAGATAATAACAAGTAACACACATTAACATACAAACATATGCATACATACATATACACATATATGTATGTGTATATATATATATATATATATATATATATATATATCCCGCCGGGCGGGTTCGGCAGGATAGCATCTCCGCAAGGGCCTCTGCCCCCCAACAGGGCAACGCGGTAGATCGCCGAGAACCAACGAGAACTGCCGAACACCGCCGAGAACCGATGAACATTGCCGAAAACTTCAGACCTCGAAACCTGAGCAACCGAAAAGGACGGACCACAGACACGTACTTCAAGAAATCCGAACGCTGTCTCGAGACCGCAACACCGACGCAAGAACCACTGGAATCTGCCTCAAACCTGCCAAAGCAAACCGCCGAAAGCCTCACACCTCGAACCCGACAGCTCCGCCCGCAGCGCCTCCAGACCCTGAGCCTATACCCCCCCTAACGTTGCCCCATGAACCCTGCGGGGGAGGAGGGAGGGAGGGAGGGAGGGAGGGAGGGAGGGAGGGGGGAGGAGGCGGAGGAGGAGGGGGAAGAGGAGAAGGGGGAGGAGAGGAGGTGAGGGAGGGAGGGAAGCCTCCCGGGGCTAGAACACTGCCGAAAACCTGAGATAACTGCCTCCCTCCTCCCTCCTCCTCCTCCTCCCTCCTCCCTCCTCCCTCCTCCCTCCTCCTCCTCCTCCTCCCTCCTCCCCCTCCCTCCTCCCTCCTCCTCCTCCTCTTCCTCCTCCTCCTCCTCCTCCTCCGCCCTCCTTCCTCCTCCTCCTCCCCTCCCTCCTCCTTCCTCCCTTCTCCTCCTCCTCTCATCCTCCTCCTCCTCCTCCTCCTCCTCCTCCTCCTCCTCCTCCTCCTCCTCCTCCTTTCCAGAACCACGAAGCCCTCAGACCTCGAACCCGACGCGTCCCCCCTCCCCCCCCCCGAGCCTCCAGCATGGCCCTCGCGATGTGCCCCCGGCTCGTCTGCAAGGTCATCCCGACCAGCGCGCCGCGGGCGTCGGAGCGCCACCACGGCGCGAGGAGGCCCGAGAAGCCCGGCACGAAGGTGACGCCGCCCGAGTCCGGCACGGACGCCGCCAGGTCGCCGACCTGCGGACCAGGATCGGCCGGGAGAGGGCGCCGGGAGGAGGCGCGGGGCCTCCGGCGAAGGCTCGCCGAGCTTCGGAGCAGGATCGGCCGAGAGGGCGCCGGGAGAAGGCGCGGGGCCGCGCGGGAAGGGGAGGGGAGTGGAGGAGACGGGGGTGAGGAGGAGGAGGAGGAGGAGGAGGAGGAGGAGGAGGAGGAGGAGGAGGAGGAGGAGGAGGAGGAGGAGGAGGAGGAGGAGGAGGAGGGAGGAGGAGGAGGAGAGGAGGAGGAGGAGGAGGAGGAGGAGGAGGAGGGAGGAGGCAGGAGGGAGGAGGCGGAGGGAGAGGAGAGAGGAGGAGGAGGAAAAGGGAGAAGGAGAAGGTGGAGGAGGAGGAGGAAGGAGGAGGAGGAGGAGGAGGAGGAGGAGGAGGAGGAGGAGGAGGGAGGAGGAGGAGGAGGAGGGAGGAGGAGAGGAGGAACAGGGAAGGGGAGGAGGAGGTGGAGGAGAGGAGAGGAGGAGGAGGAGGAGGGAGAGGAGGAGGAGAGGAGGGAGGGGGAGGAGAAGGAGGAGGAGGAGGAGGAGGAGGAGGAGGAGGAGGAGGAAAAGGGAAGGAGGAGGAGGTGGAGGAGGAGGAGGAGGAGGGAGGAGGGAGGAGGAGGAGGAGGAGGAGGAGGAGGAGGAAAAGGGAAGGAGGAGGAGGTGGAGGAGGAGGAGGAGGAGGAGGAGGGGGAGGAGGAGAGGGCGCAGCCCGCCAGCCCCGCGCCCCGCGCCCCGCGCGGCAGGCCACAGGTCGCCCATCCGTGAGGCCGCTTGCGCACATCTGGGGCGCCTGACCTCGCGCAGCGCGCCCCGCGACGACCTTCGCGCCATCCTAACCTCGCGCCTCGCGCCCTCCCTCGCGCGCACAAGCACGCGTCAAGAAGGCTCTTCCCCCTGCGACCCCGCCCAGAAGTGAACAAAAACAGACTCGTGCCTCGACGAGCTCGATGGCTCCCGAGCGCCCTCTTGGGTGCGTGTGCTTCGCTCCGCGCTGGACACCGCGTCGAAAGAACATGTGCGCTCCCCATGGGTGTTCGACGGTGCCCTCGGCGCTGCTCTTCGCGCCCTGGGCGCCCTCGCGCCGCCCCTCTTGGAGAAAGGGCAGCCAACCGCTCTGGCCAGGGCCGCGGCGCGCGGCCCCCTGCGCGCCTCTCGCGAGTGACCCAGAGCATCGGCACGCGTCGATCCACTCCTGAGGGGAGGCAGCGCAAAAACATCGGAGAAGGATCCGCACACATCGATCACTTGCCCAAGGGGGGGGCAAGACCGAGGCACAGGCAAAGGCTCCGCGCGCCAGGAACAACGCCAGAGGCGCCGCGATGGGGGCACAGCGCCGATCTAAGGCATCCACGTGGACCTTTGACAGTTTGTGTAGTGTGTTCTCATTCGGTGGCATTCGGAGGAATATCGCCACACATCGAACACTTGTCCTTTACAGCGTAACGCTGAGGGCCCTCGCGAGGGGATGGGCGCGGTGACTTACGCGCGCTAAGGAAAGCCTCCTGCCGGACGCCTGCCAGGCAGGAAACTGCCCAGAAGGTCCGATCAGATGGGATCGGGGGTTCGCACCGCATCGCCGATGCATCTGGGATGCCCTGAAGACGTCGGGACGGAGAAAATCGGGCTCCGGCTCGAGCCGCATCGGCGATGCATCGACGATGCGGCGCGATCATCCCCGACCCCGCCCAGTTCGGCCATATGTGGGCGCCCTGGACAGGCCTAAGACGAAGCCAGGACGAGGATACAGTCGGGTGGGGATCACTCAAGAATATCTGAGATCCCGCGGCTCTGGAGGATGTCTCGGGCGCCACTGCCCTATCGGAGCGTTCGGGAAGGCTCAAAGAGCGTTCCAGAACGCTCTGGAACGGATCTATCCTCGTCTTGGCTCCGTCCGAATGCCCCTTGATTGCCCTTCCTCCACTGCCTGCTCTGCCCGCCTCGCCTCGCCCCTGACCCCAGATGAACACAGCCTTGTAGGAACAGCGTGTGTGTATATCTATATGTATATAAGTGTGTGTTTACGTATGCACATATATTCATACATAGCTTTTACATATATGTATAACTAGTATGTGTGTGTACATATAAATATATATATGTGTAGAATACACCTGTATTTCTTATATATACATACACCAGGGGACATGAGCCGTGTCCCATGGGGCTTCACAGAAACACAGCAGGACTATGGAGAATGCACGAATGTCTGGCAAGTTCTCCAGGGGACGGGTGTCGGACATAATATGTACACTGTGCTTGGGCCGCCATTTGTCAATAAAGGGTGGGCGCACAAACAGAACATGATATAGGGGACATTTCTCTGGCCCATACCCAGTCTGTTGGCTCGACCGCGCGATCGTCAGACGCGCGACGGCAACTTATTCTGACGAGGTCCGCCGGACAACGAACAGCTGCTGTCCCAACGAGGCGCAAAAGGAAGGGCACGCGAGTCTGGACCAACTCCTCCCCGGGAGGCCCAACGGAGGCTCCTTCACGCCCAACGGAAGCTCCCCGGAGGCCACCGCAGGCTCCCAGAGGCCCTCGACGCCTGCCGCCGCGCACGCAGGCTCGGGAGGGAATCGCCAGCACGCGGCTGCAAGACCCAGCCCATGGGGCAACCCCGCGGCCCTTGGCATTTTCCGCGCAGGCTCCCTGGAAGATCCTGGCGCACCGCGCCCATCGCCACCCACGCTCGAGGCCGCCACATGCATCGGTGCACCTGCGCCCACCCCGCTCTGGGGGCGCCCGCGGAGTTCCATCCAGAACTCCCTGAAAACCCAGGGGCATCCGACGCCGTGATTTCTGTGTCACGGCGGGGCTCCCGAGATAGACAACCGCGTTCCTCCACGCGCCAAGTAGCTGCTCGCAAATGGCCTGGGCGCACTGCGTCGAAGCAGAAAGACTCCGACGCATCGAACGACACTTGTTTTTCTGCCGTTTGCGAGCGTGCATTTTACGGCAAGGCGGCACGCACTCGGTGGCCACAGGTCCAGGGTCTCGTCCTGAGCCGAGTTGCGGCGGTGCCGACGGCCACACAATGAGGGTAGCACATTGCATCTCCTCCCCCGCCTTTAGGTCGGGCAAGTCCTCCTGCAAGCGGATTTGGGAAGAAAACCTGAAACATGATCAAACATTACCCTGCGGCTTCCCTCGAAATATTTGCATTTAGTGGCATAAGGACTTGGGCTAAAGTTGCCAATGCAATGACAGTGCAAACGCCGTTCTATGTTGTGCAAGCTACATGGGATGCTGTCAAGTGGCGCGGTTCACAGGACAACAACAGAAGGACGAGGAGCGAGGGCCCAGGCTTGAGGAGGACATGGGGGCGGGAACGAAGGACCGGAAAAAAGACGCGTGGGGGGCTGACCCGTCAGCGAGGCAGCAGCAGAGGGAATGTGTCAGGGGGCAGAGGTCGACGACGAACGTGACGGGAGGAGACCGGAGAGTGTTGCTGTTGTCGGTAATACCCTGCAGATGCAGCGCTGCCTGCGCCATGTCGCCGCGGCGCTCGACAAAATTAGCAGAGAAGCTTATACTTAGTGCAATAAGAGAGCGAGGTCTAGCTCGCCCACCAGCTTTCCAGCTCCCTTCCTGCACTTTTCAGCGCGGGAGCTAAACGCTTGAAGGCGCGCCGCCCAGTCTGCGGGCGGCCCGCGACAGCGCCCCGCTGAACCCCCCAGCAGCCCTCGAACCAGTTTCGCAGATCGCAGCCCCGCAGGGATGGCGAGGTCTAATCCGAATGCGGATGGTGCCTCACTCCGCTGGACCCCCCAGAAACCCGCGAAAGTGGCGACCATTTCGCAAATCGCAGCCCCCTCAAGGATGGGGAGGTCTAATGTGAGTCTGGATAGTGCCTCACTCTGCTGACCCCCCCAGCAGCCCTCGAAAATGGCGACAGTCTCGCTCACAGCGCCCCTAAGGATGGCGAAGTCTGATCTGAGTCTGGGCGGCGCCTCACTCCGCTAGACCCCCCCGCAAGCCTCGAAAGCGGCGACAGCTTCGCAGATCGCAGCACCCCAAGGATGGCGAGGCCTAATCTGACTCTGGGTGGTGCCTCACAGCAGCCCGCGAAAGTGGCGAGAAATTCGCAGATCGCAGTCTCCCAAGGATGAAGAGGTCCAATCTGACCCCGGGTGGCGCCTCACTTCGCGATCCCCCCCAGCAGCACCCGAAAGTGGCAACAGTTTTGCAGATCGCAGCCCCGCAGGGATGGCGAGGTCTAATCCGAATGCGGATGGTGCCTCACTCCGCTGGACCCCCCAGCAACCCGCGAAAGTGGCGACAATTATGCAGATCGCAGCCCCCCAGGGATGGCGAGGTCTAATCTGGGTCTGGGTGGTGCCTCATTCCGCTGAACCCCCCAGCAGCCCGCGAAAATGGCGACAGTCTCGCTGATCACAGCACCCCCAGGGATGGCGAGGTCCAATCTGACCCCGGGCGGCGCCTCACTCCGCTAGACCCCCCCGCAAGCCTCGAAAGCGGCGACAGCTTCGCAGATCGCAGCACCCCAGGGATGGCGAGGTCTAATCCGAATGCGGATGGTGCCTCACTCCGCTGGACCCCCCAGCGGCCCTCGAACGTGGCGATTTGCGAAGGAAGGAGGGACCCGCATCTGGCGACGATCTGCGAAGGAAGATGGACCCGCATCTGGCGACGATCTGCGAAGGAGGAGGGGCCCGCATCTGGCGGCGATCTGCGAAAGGTAAGAGGCAGGAGGGAGGAGGAGAGGTGGGAAGGAAGGGAGGAAGGAAAGAAGGAAGGAAGGTGTGCGACCGCAGTGCTCTATTCAATGCGAACAACCAGCGCAGGAGGGTTGGGAAAAATCAAACATAGTCTCAAGAGCACGAACAAGCGCTGCCGGACTATGTATTACTCATTCTTGAACATGCCTTCTGTAGAGAGACATGCCTGGCGTAACCCCAACTAGCCCCCCCTCCCCAGAAGGAAGGGGCAGAGGGGGGATGGGGAATACTTGCTGTGCCGATGCTCCAAACACAGGAACAAACTGCGTACGCAGTCCGCGCGGATTTCTTGGATCTGCGCTGGACCTCCCCCCTCCCTGGCGCGCGGAGCGCGCCGTGGGCGCCGCCCGAGGCGCCGCCAGGGGGATCCAGCGCAGATCCAAGAAATCCGCACGGACCGTCGACACTTGTTATGCTGTTCTTGTTCTTCTTCGACCGAAGCTTTGACCTTATCCCGAAAAAGAGGCGTGTCCTTGATGAGGCGCGTTTCTCGTGTTCGACCGCGGCCTCAGGCGCGAAAGCCAGTGCTCGGGGGGGACCCCCGTGGGCCCGCACCGAACGTCACTCCTGCGAAGGGCCACTCGTGCGCGTCGCCGAAGCGTCGGGCTTCGACCTCCGGCCATCTCCTCTCTGCAAGGCGGGCCCGGTGGCACCTGCGCCTCGGCACGTCGACCCAGGAAGGACAGGCGGCGTGGCGCGCACGTGGGCAGGAGCAGCACGCTTCTGCAGGAGGACGACGAGCGACGGAGGGGCTGCACGGGGAGGGAGAGGACAGGGAAGGGAGAGACGAGGGACGGAGGGGGAGAGGGCAGGGAAGGGGGAAGAGAAGAGGCCAGGGGGGGGATGGATGGACCAGGGGAGGGAAGGGATGGATGGAAGCTTCTTACCAAGCAACCCCAAACCAAAACAATTTCCAGTGGCGGGGGCACTGCAGAACATCGAGGGAACACGGCGGAGCCCGCAATCCCCCCAGCGCGATTTTTTTTTGGGGGGGTCTAGGGCCGCCCGGGTGGGTGGGAGAGGTTTGGTATTGAGATGGGCAAGGAGGAAGGGAGGGTCGGAGGGAAGGGAGGAAGAGAGGAAGGGAGGGTCGGAGGAAGGGAGGGTCGGAGGGAAGGAGGGGGTAGGGGGTAGAGCGTGACTCCTGCTCCTCATCCCCTCCTGGCGGACCCTCCCCACCCGTCCCCTACTCCCCCCCTTCCCCTCCCCCGTTTGATCCGCCCCGCGAGGCTTGCACTTATATCCATCTCAACCGCCTGGCGAACCGATCTCCTGGGACTCACGGGGCGGTGGACATGGATATTTCTGTTGGCCCTGGGGTGTGGGAGGTTGGATCCGAGCCTCGTACACCCCCCCTCGCCGAGATTTAGGTCGGGTATGTCCACCTACAGCCGTTTTGGAAGAATAATGCCAAACCATAGCAAAATGATAACAACATTAGCCTGGCGAAACACCCAACCATATGCAGCTGTGAATGCCGTAACTGGGTGCATCGTCTTCGGTAGAGCCCCCGATAGGGCGACGAAACATATGAGAGATGAGCCGAAGAAGTGGGGGTGCAACTGCATGCGAACCCTGCAACTGGGGCCTTCGGTGGAGCCCCTATACGGGGACACGGACCATGTGAGGGGTGCGTCGAAATTGGGTGTGGAACTGCTTGCGCACTTTCCCACTGTGGCCTGCGGGGGAAGGCTAGGGGCAACGAACCGTGAGGGGTAAGCCGAAATCGGGGCTGGAACTGCATGCAAACTTTCCCACTGGGGCCTTCGGAGGAGCTCCCCATGGGGCCACGAAACGTGTGAGGGGTACGCCGAGATGGGGGGTGGAACTGCATGCGAACTTTCCCACTGGGGTCTTCAGAGTATCTCCCTACGGGGCCACGAAACGCGTGAGGGGTGCGCGCAAAAAGGGGGTGGAACTGCGTGCAAACTTCCACTGGAGCCTTGGGTGGAGCTCCCTATGGGACCACGAACAGTGTGAGGGGTACGCCGAAATGGGGGGTGGAACTGTATGCGAACTTTCCTACTGGGGATTTCGGCGGAACTCCCTAGGGGGCCACGAACCGTGTGAAGGGTAACGCCGAGAGAAGGGGGTGAAATTGCATGCGAACTTTCACACTGGGATCTTCGTTGGCCACGAACCGTGTGAGGGGTACGCCGAAATCGGGGCTGGAATTGCATGCAAACTTTCCCACTGGGGCCTTCGGAGGAGCTCCCCATGGGGCCACGAAACGTGTGAGGGGTACGCCGAGATGAGGGGTGGAACTGCATGCGAGCTTTCCCACTGGGGTCTTCCAAATAGCTCCCTACGGGGCCACGAACCGTGTGAGGGGTGCGCGGGACAAGGGGTGGAACTGCATGCAAACTTTCCCACTGGAGCCTTGGGTGGAGCTCCCTATAGGAGCACGAACTGTGTGAGGGGTGCGCCGAAATTTGGGGTGCGAACTTTCCTACTGAGGCGTTCAGCGGAACTGCCTGGGTGGGCACGCCATGTGTGAAGGGTAACGCAGAGACATGGGGGTGGAACTGCATGCGAACTTTCCCACTGGGATCTTCGTTGGCCACGAACCGTGTGAGGGGTACGCCGAAATCGGGGCTGGAATTGCATGCAAACTTTCCCACTGGGGCCTTCGGTGGAGCTCCCCACGGGGCCACGAAACGTATGAGGGATACGCCGAGATGGGGGGAGGACTTGCACGCGAACCTTCCCACTGGGGTCTTCAACATAGCTCCCTACGGGGCCACGAACCGTGTGAGGGGTGCGCGGGACAAGGGGTGGAACTGCATGCAAACTTTCCCACTGAAGCCTTGGGTGGAGCTCCCTATGGGATCACGAACCGTTTGAGGGGTGCGCCGAGATGGGAAGTGGAACTACATGCAAACTTTCCCACTGGGGCCTTCGGAGGAGCTCCCTATGGGGCTACGAAACGTGTGAGGGGTACGCCGAGATGGGGGGTGGAACTGCATGCGAACTTTCCCACTGGGGTCTTCAGAGTAGCTCCCTACGGGGCCACAGAACGCGTGAGGGGTGCGCCGAAATGGAGGGTGGAACTACATGCAAACTTTCCCAATGGAATCTTGGGTGGAACTCCCTATGGGACCACGAACCGTGCGAGGGGTGTGCCGGAAATGGTGGGTGGACCTGCACGCGAACCTTCCCACTGGGGCCTTGTTGGACCTCCCCATGGGGCCACGAACCGTGTGAGGGGTAAGCCGAAATCGGGGCTGGAACTGCATGCAAACTTTCCCACTGGGGCCTTCGAAGGAGCTCCCCATGGGCCACGAAACGTGTGAGGGGTACGCCGAGATGGGGGGTGGAACTGCATGCGAACTTTCCCACTGGGAGGAGCGGAGAGTAACGCGGGGCAGTCTCTTAAAAACGAGGACCTAACACCACCGTATTGTTGAGACAAAAGATAACAGAACATCGCTGTCAGACATTTATTCGCTATTATTCAACATTCCTCCTGTAGAGGCACATGCCCGACCTAACTCTAGAGCACAACAAAAACATAATGAACACACAATGCAGAGACACCGCGCGGATACCATGGAGCCGCGCCGACCCCCTTCCTCCTCCCTGGCGCGCGCGGCGCGCTGGGGTCGGCGCGGGAGCGCGGCCCGGAGGGCACAGCGCAGACCAAAGAAATCCGCGCGAACCTCTGAGACAGCGTCACGTTTATGCCAGTTTTGCTGCTTCCATATTCCTCCCCCCACTTCTTCAGGGCCCCCTATGCGGGGCCTCCTTGGTAACCCAGGGCCTCAGCGCGCCCGAGAAAAAGCTGCCGCCGCGGGTCGCAACGGTCCCCAGTCTTCGCCCTCTCTACGCGGACTTGCCCAAGCCCTGGCTTGCAGTGTCCGGGCTCACGGGGCCAACCCCTCCCCGCCCACTCCAGGGCCGCAGGGCCTCTGGCGCAGCGTCGATGATCTTCAGCTGGTCCCGCAGCCACTGCACGCCCCGGCCGGCGACCGCCACCGCCCCCTCCAGGGCGTAGACGGGGGGCGAGTCCGGCCCCAGCTTCCTGGCCGGGGGGCGCGGCCATGACGACCACGAGCGGGAAGTCCCTGAGATCTTGGTGTCTTGGTTTTTCGAGTCTGGGGGGTGTTCGTTCATGTTCGGGCCCTAGGAGTGTGGATGCCAGGACACTGGACACCCTAACAATCCTATCGTTGAATGATCCGTTTGTTTAACATGTTTGGAAAATATCCTAAACATGTTTAAGACATGGGTTTGACATGTCTAAGACATGATTTAAACATGTGTTCGACATCTGGAAGACGATGGGCAGCATGCTTCCTCTCCACTGATCGTACTCTTTTCCCGGGGGCATCGGGAAACAAAGTATACGCCACACCACCCAAGTATCGTCCCCGACCCTCAAAAAGTCCTAGGATTGAAGAACAGCCTACCACTGGTAATGTATATGTTCTAATTTGGACCCTCACAGATGGATGGATCTGGCTCGAGAGAGGGCGCAGCAAGACGGGTTCCGGGGCCCCGGTCATGATCTGCTTCCCGAGGGTGCAGCGTCTTCGCTGCGCCAGCCCTCGGGGGTGAAGAAGGGGTCAGAGGCACCAACGTCTAGCGTTGTGGATGCCACGACAATGGACACCTAACAATCCTATGATGGAACTTAAAATGTGTTTAAAATGTCGGAAACATGTTTGACCCATGCTTTGGACATCTGGGAATTATTTGGCAGCATGCTTCCTCTCCATTGATCGTCCTCCACAAGTCTAGCGCAGCGGGAGGGACGACGGAGAGAGATGGGGGGGCACAAACATGGAGGACGGGAGGCAGATTTAGATGGAGAGAGGCGCATGCGTACAGGAAGAGAGGGGCATGGCGTCCAAGCAGTCTGATGTACTTGATGGCATGGGGGAATATTCGCCCCTTGTGCGACCACTCACTCCCATACCATCTTGTTGTTTCTTGCGAGTCGACGTCAGTCGACGCTGATCGATGCTAAATCGACGCTAATCGACGCCACATCGGCGCGATATGATCATCATTTACATGACGCTGATCGACGCCAACACACTCAAACATCGGATTTACAAGTACAGACTAGGTTCCCGTGATTTGCTACCGAAGCCACCGTCGTTAGACGCCTGAGCTGACAAGGGATATGTCGATCTCTATCCCAGGCCTGATGCGTGGAGCTTTCGAATGGACCAGACACTTTGGGCCCAACCATGAGATATGCGCTGAAGAGGGGGGGGGCGTCCATCCGCGATAGGGGTGCGTCCGAGTAACCCCCTCGGGGTGTATCCCAGGGATTCCCTCCTTTTCTGAGCGGCTTTGGTTTGTCGTCGAAAAGGCGGGGGCTGGGGGAACCTATCGCCTGCGCTGCGCCCTGACGTGCGAGGCGGGCACCAGAGAGCGGGACGCGGGAGGAGAGGGCCGGGGGGGCAGGTGACGTTAGGTCGGGCATGTCCCCCTACAGGGGCATGTTGGGCGAAATGATAAAGCTACCCCGTAAAATACCGTCCCAAATGCTTAAACATAGTAAAAGAATGGTCCCCTGACTATTTTTTGACTATTTTTGAACATTCCCCCTGTAGAGGGACAGGCCCGACTTAAAAGGGAGGGGGGCGGGCGGGATGGGGCGACGGGAGGCAATGCGAGTCGGGGAGTCACGCTTCTGGGCTCGACATTCTGGGATCCCAAAGGGGCGGTGGAAATGGAGACCCTCAACCCGTGCAGTGAGAATGCGCGGGGAGGAAGGATGCCAGAGGCCCTGGGAGGCCGTGCCGACGCTTTGCGAGATGGGGCGCTGCCGGCGAAGGCGGCCAGGGATGGGCGGAACGGGAAGGCTGCAGGGGGGCAAGTCCTCCTCCTCCTCCTCGTCCTCCTCCTCCTCGTCCTCCTCGTCCTCCTCCTCCTCCTCCTCCTCCTCCTCCTCCTCCTCCTCCTCCTCCTCCTGCAAGGGATGGCCTTTTGGAAAGTCGCGCACCCTGAAGATGCGGGTTGACTGTAGGTTGCTGGGAGCCCCTGGGGCCCGACCCCTGCCCCCTCTCCCCCCGAGTCTGGGCGGGGCCTCTCGCGGAGGGGTTTGGAGCGTCTCCGACGGCCTCGGCGAGGGAGCCAAACAAATCATTGCTTTCACAAGTGGCATCATGAGAGGGGGCAACGCCAGCTGGAACCTCCCCCTTCTCTGCTCGATCACCTCGAAGGTGGCCCCAAGGTGGCCTCCGAGGCTCCCAAGAGTGCCCCAAGAGGGCCCCGAGAGGCGCCCAGGAGGCGCCAGCAGGCCCCCCAGGATGCCCCCAAGAGGCTCCCGAGAGACCCCGAAGAGGCCCAGAGAGACCCCAAACAGGCATCCAGGGCGCCTTGGCGAGGCCAGACTTACTAATGTTACTAAGCTTTTGAAAACATTTGGGCCTTCTGGGGGGGCCCTACGTAAGGAGCACCACTCCTTTGACCGATATCCTCGAAGATGGCCCCAAGGTGGCCCCCGAGTCTCGCAAGGGTGCCCCAAGACGGCCTCACGAGGCCACCGAGAGACACCCATGATGCACCCAAGAGGCACCAACTGAAGAGGCCACCACGAGGTCCCCAAGAGACACCCGAGACGCCCCAAGAGGTCTCGGCGAGATGAAACAGATCAAAAATGTCACTAAGGAGTTGGAAACATTTGGACCTCCTGGGGGGGGGAGCCTGATGTACTGCAGTCCCTCCGTTGATCGATCTCCTCAAAAATTGCCTCCGAGGCTCCCAAGGGCGCGCCCCGGAGGCCCCAAGCGGCCACCGAGAGGCCCCCTAGACGCCCCCAAAAGGCTCCCAAGTCCCTCCAGAGGCCCCAAGGCTCCCCACAGGCACCCAAAACGCCCCAAGAGGCCCCAAGGACTGCCAAAAGACCCACCCACATACCCCAAGAAGACTCTAAGAAACTCTCGGAAGAAGTGGGAAGGACTCCGAGAGGCATCCAAGAGGCTTCTGCCCTTTCTGCTCGCCCTTGTCCTCCTCCTCCTCCTCCTCCTCCTCCTCCTCCTCCTCCTCCTCCTCCTCCTTATTCGCCTATTTCTCCGCCTTCCGCTTCTACCCTCCCCCTCTCCCTCTCCCTCCTCCTCCTCCTCCTCCTCCTCCTCCTCCTCCTCCTGCTGCTCCGATTCCTCATGACGTCTTGCCCAGCTCGATATTCCACTGCATGCTGCTCCACATCATTGGTCACGGCATCTCGTCTGGGCATCGTTTCCGGATGGGCCAGTGAGTCACGCGAGGCGTCCAGAATAAATCCATATCCACCGCCTGCCGAGGCCCCGAACCTCGATCCCCCTGGCGGCGGCCGCCAGCGGCGTGGGGGCTGGCTGCGGTGGGCCGTGGCCGAGGCACAGATACGTGATGGCCGTCGGCCCATCCCGCCACCGTGCCTGGGTTGTGGCTCTGAGGCCTCTTGCATGTGCGTCGGGATAGCGTCGAGGGGTCGCGGCGAGGGAGGGAGGGCGGCGAGGGCGGCGACGGGCGTGGTCTGGGCGCCGGCGCGGTGAAGTTGCTGTGCCCAGGCGTCCAGCTCATCGTCGTCAGGAGCCCGTGCGACGACGGCAGGGGGCCGCGGAGCGGCGAGGGGGCGCTCCCACAGGCCAGGGCCACTCGAAGCTCCTCGCCTCCTCCTTCCCTTCGCACGCGCCTTGTCTGCTCCGCGCCTCACCCCTGCCTCCTGCTCGCTCGCCTTCTCCTGCCTCCTCCCTCCCTTCTCGTTCCTCGTCGGCCATCCTCCTCCCTCGCCTCTTCTCTCTCTTCTCCCTCCTCCTCCTCCTCCTGCTCCTCCTCCTCCACTTCCTCCGACTCATCCTCCGCCTCATCCTCCTCTCCCTCCTCCGTCCCTCCATCCCGCCGCCTCCCACTCCACTTCCCCCTCTCCCACCTGCTCCCCTCCCACCTCCATCTCCTTCACCTGGGCCTCCCTCTCTTCGCGTTCCACTTCCTAAGTTCCCTCTCTTCATCCTCCGACTGTGTAAGCTTCGTAAGTTGAGAGGCCCGCATGTCCACTCCGGCCGCGCACGGACGCGCAGAGAGATGGCGGGGAGGGCGGGCTCAACGATAGATGGGGAGCGGGAGAATGGCAGGGTGAAGGGAGGCGGGAGAGGCCTTCCAGCCCCCTCCACCCTGACCTGCTCCTCCATCTCCTACATCTCCTCCTCTTCCCCCTCCTCCTCATCCTCCTCCTCCTCATTATCCTCCTCGTCTTCCTCCTCCTCCTCCTCCCCTTCCTCCTCCTCCTCCTCCTCCTCCTCCTCCTCCTCCTCCTCCTCCTATTCCTCCTCCTTCTCCTCCTCCGCCTTCTGCTTCCCCGTCCTGTTCCACTTCCTGCCTACTCCGCCTGACCGCCGCCCTCCCTCTCTCCCTCCCTCCCTCCCTCCCATCCCTCCCACCGTCTCCCCGTCTTCCCGTCCTCCCTGTCCTCCCTCCTCCCTTCATTCCACCCACTCCAACCCACTACCACCCCCTCCTCCCCCTCCTCCCCCTCCTCCTCCCCCCCTCCTCCCTCCTCCTCCCTCCTCCTCCTCCTCCTCCTCCTCCTCCTCCTCCTCCTCCTCCTCCTCCTCCTCCTCCTACTCCTACTCCGTCTCCTCCATTGGTGCCTCTCCTCACCGTCCTCCCCCCTCCTTCGCCCTCCCTCTCCTCTGGGGGGAAGCGTGGGTGAAAGGGGACCAACGAATGGCACGTGGCGCCCCTGGCTTGTGGCGCCGCCGCCCTGTCACTCCCCAGCATGGGCTGCGCGCCAGTGTTGACCACCATGAAGCAGCCGGTCCTGAGGGGACGGGACCCGAACCCGCCCGAAAAACAATGGCACTCGCTCGGCAGAATGCCCCAAACACTTTCACACGATTTCGATGGGGGCCGCGGCAGAGGGTCACGATAGAGGGATCGGGATCTATGTGTGAGGGATATATAGAGCAAGTGATACAAGGGTAGGGGTATCTGAATCCGCCGACCCTGTCGGCGTGTGGAATGCGCTGTTCCGTTTGTTTCGTCGTCGTCGTCGTCGTCGTCGTCGTGGTCGTCGTCGTCGTCGTCGTCGTCCTCGTCGTCGTCGTCGTCCTCGTCGCCGCCATCCGTCGTCGTCGTGGTCCTCGTCGCCGCGGCCCCTCCCTCTTCCCTGCGCCCGTCGCCTCTCCCCCTTCTTTCATCGCGCCCCTTTCCTCACGCAACTCAGCCACAGCGAAACTCAGCAACGTCGTAGTTGAGTCGAAGGGAAGCCTCTTCCCTTTGATCCCTTCCCCGCCGGGAGGGGGGGGGCGGTCCGGGGGGGAAGGTCCCTGGGGGTCCCGGGAGGGGGGGGGGGTACCACCCCTCCCGGGGTGGCCCGGGCCCCAAAAACGTCCCAAGCCGAGCCAAGAGTAACCCAAGACGCCCCCAAGACGGTCCAAAAGAACACCGAATCGCCGAACGATCGGTCCAGGACGTCTTTTACGGCCTCCAGACGGCCCAAGAATGTTAAAGACGCCCCAGGAGGTCGCGAATAGCACTCCCAAGAGATCCCAAAGAGACAGCATTCCTCGATTGTCCGGATGTTCTTCCAGGACTTGGGCGTTCTCGCCTTTTCTGCTTCCGACGCTCCAAGACGGCCAAAGAGGCTCCAACAATCGTCCCAAGAGGCCTCCCAGAGGGTCCCGAAACAGGCCAACGAAGGCCCGAAGACGGCCCAAGACGCCTGCAAGACGGCCCAAGAGGCCCCCAAGAACCCAAGAGGGCTCCAGGAGGGTGCTCACACAGGGGAACAAAACGGACATTTCGAGCCCTCCGCCCCGAGAGGCTCCTATGAGGCCCCCAAGAGGCTCCCAAGAGGCCGCCAAGAGGCTCCAAGAGGCCGCCAAGAGGCCCCCAGGACGGCCCAGGAGGCTCCCAAGAGGCGGCTCCCAAGAGGTCTCCAAGAGGATCCCAAGGCGCCCCCAAACTGCCCCCGAGAGGAGCGCTCCGAAGAGACCCCAAAGAGAATCCCTGAGGACTCTGACCAACGTCAGCGTCGTCGTCGTCGTCGCCGCCGTCGCCGTCGCCGTCGCCGTCGCCGTCGCCGTCGCCGTCGCCGTCATCGTCGTCGTCGTCGTCCTCGTCGTCCTTGCCGTCGCCGTCGCCGCCGCCGTCGTCGTCGTCGTCGCCGCCGTCGCCGTCGCCGTCGCCGTCGCCGTCGTCGTCGCCGTCGCCGTCGCCGTCGCCGTCGCCGTCGCCGTCGCCGTCGCCGTCGTCGTCGTCGTCGTCGCCGCCGCCGCCATCGTCGTCGTCGTCGTCGCCGTCGTCGTCTTCGTCGTCGTTGTTGTCGTCGGCACTGGCCGTAAGGCCTTCGCAGTAGGAGTAGGGGCGGGGAGATAGAGGAGGGACAGAGATATACGGACGCGGGTAGACAAGGGAGGACAACGGGAGGCAATGAGCGACAGTGGGAGACATTGGGAGAACATGGGAGACAGTAGGAGGAAGTGGGAGGCGACGTCGCCCGAGCGATGCAAGATCCAGCAGCGCGCCTACTGGTTTCTTAGAAAGACGTACAGGATCCTTACAGGCGTGCCGTTTAGGGAACCTCACGAACATCAATGCTGGTTGACTTCTCGCCGATTCGCTGCCGACAAGCTCGCGAGGCCTCCTGATGGTTTAAGACCCAAGGCAGCCCTAAGAGAGGCATAAGAGAACCCCACGACGGCCCCAAGACCGCCCGAGAGCGCCACAAGATGGCCCCCAACATGCGACTGGTCCGCTTTCGACGGGGGGTCCGAGTTCTGTTCACCGCCCTCTTTAAGCGATGGCCTCCACGATAACCTTCCAGGCCCCCTCAGATAGCCCCAAAGAGCGCCTTGAGGACCTCCACAACGGCACAAGAGAGCTTCAAGGTTCCAGGAAGGCACCAAGACGGCCAGCGTAAACTGCCAAGCTTCCAGATCGAAACATCCGCGAAGGAATGCATGCCTGTCTTCCGGGCCTGCTCAAGCTGATCCCGATCATTTGTTTGACGGCTGTCCCCCCTCTTTGTTCCACTGCGTGCTCGCAGATGTCCCTGATGAATGCATCTCGTCTGGGCATCGTTGCTAGACGGGCGGGGGGGATACGCGCGCTCGTGTGGCTGGATGGAGGGTGGATTCGGCGTCTTGGGATCATACGCGGGCAATGCGTGGGGACAGTGCATTGGGCCGCACATACGCGGCAATGCAGGGGGGCACGAGGGCAGCACCTGGGGGCAGCACATGAGGCGGGACTCACACTTGGAAGTGCGCAAAGGGGCCCGGGAGCTCTGCCCGACGCCGCCCTCGCACCCTTATCCGCAATCGAAAGGTGCTGCGGTGAATCGCCCTCCCTGACGCCCGTCCCTGCACGGCTGAGCTTCTGCATGTTCGCCAACCCTCGGAGTTACCGTCGCTATGTCCCTGACCTCGTCCGCCTCCCAAAGCAATAGGGCTCTCTTCCTCGGCCTCTCCGCCTCCTCCTCCTCCTTCACCGCTTCCTCCCTCCTCCTCCTCCTCCTCCTCCTCCTTCTCCTCATCCCTGCTCTTCCCCGTGTGGGAGGTAAGGATTCCATGCGACTCACACCCTCCACGACGCAGATGGCATGGCTTTGTTTGGCAAGTCCTGCGGGCGATATGGCAGCCTTATGGCCGCGGGACCAACTGGGCCATGTCAACCTGAGACTGCCAAAGGGTCACATCAGATTCGCAGGTTGAGTCCGAGAAAGTGGCCTCATCCCTAATGTATGCCCAAGCGAGAGCGTGACGCACCGCATTGGCGCGACTGGTCCAGAGCCTCTGCTGCTGAAGCTGCCAGGCCTGATAAGGGGGGCTTGCGAGGCTGGCAGTGCGGGCAAGTACGAGAGTGTCTGTGAATGCGCGTGTGTTGGTAAGCTCTGGCGCGCCGATGTCGGCAACACCAATCCACTTCCCCTCTGGGACTGCGCCCCCTGCTCCAGTCCATGGCGTACCTTGTCCTGTGCAAGATCTTCGGCACCGCCTGTTTTCTGAGCCCTCCGGCCGCCTGAGGCCCCGCCCGCCCGCGCCCTGTCAAGACCGTTTAGCTCTTGACCGGAAGGGGCCCGCTCCAGACCCGCAGACCCAAAAAAGTGTGTTGGTAGGCTGGCTACCCATGCCTGGGCATGCGTATGGCATGGTTGAGCCGCTTAGGGTCCCTGCCCCGTCGTCTGAGGGGCCGGCCGCGCGCGTTTCTAGTTTGCTCGGGTGCTCTGCCTCCGCCTCGTCGCTGCGCGCGAGGCCGCGATCGCAAAGCAAGTGGGTTGGCAAAAAAAGTGTGTGGTTGCGTATCATGGTATCCCCGTCACTCCTGCTCCTCCTCCTCCTTCGAATCTTCATTTTCTGACGGTGGCCATACACGAAGAGGGGCCTTGTCGTGTGAGTGCATGCAGGAGAAAAAAAGAAGCCGACTTAGCGGGGAACAAACATAATTATCCTCCTCCTCCTCCTCCTCCTCCTCCTCCTCCTCCTCCTCCTCCCTCAATGCTCCCTCCTGGCTACTCCCTCCTCCTCCCTCCACCACCCTCTCCCCCTCATCCCTCCTGCCGTGTCCATGGCTCTCTACTC